ATCATTTTCAGATTTAATTATATGTTCTAATTCCTCTCTATCATAACTACTATTCACACCTGGTATTTTTATTCTAGGATTTCTAAGACTTGTTTCAATAACTTCATAACTTCCCTTAAGACATTCCGCTGCAGATGATTTAAATTTATCTATATCATTTTGACAAGGAAATTTTAATAATATCTTTCCATTATTCAGCTCCTTTTTCCTGTTAATTCTTATTTCATGTGCCTCAAGTTTAATTTTTTTCTCTAAGTCTAATTTAGTTTGATTAGTATTTTGGACTTTTTTTGGTATTATCAAAACATTTGGTAGGTTTGTTTTTATTTCAATTTTTTGAGTCACCATGGCATAAGATGGTCTATTCGGGATGCTCTGCACACTAGAGGAAATATGTTGTATTTTTTCTTCAATGTTTGAAACTTTTTTAGTAAAATCTTCCATATATTCAGGATAATTTGGTGCTTTCATCATTTTTTTGAATATGTCTTTACATGGAGTGCATACCCATATTACCATTTGCATTACATCACTAGACATTTTTTTTTATATATCTGATTACTTCACCCACGCAATCAATATGGTACCACGATTGGCATTTCCCTTCACAGAATAGTCCGCACTGGTTATCTTTGACTTTTTTATACACTTTTTACAGTATGACTACAACTTTTGATTTTTAAGTGACACCCTCGGCATTTTTTACTTTATTCGATAGAAAATGACACTTTGAATAGAATGACATACTGTAAAACTTGGAAAATAAGTTCGTCATAATAATGCTTTTATTTATTCACTCTTCTAATAAACAATATGCATTCCTTCGGAAACTCTCTATTTATTTATCTAGTAATGCTAAAACACTCTAAAAAATAGTATGATTCATTGGCAAGCGATGTAAATATTTGTGATCAGGTAAAATTGTGATGTAAGAGGAGGCTTAGCTTGCCTGCGGCAGGTCAGTAGTAGATAGACCGGTCGGCTGTTGTGTTGTGTTTTGTCATAGAGCTGACAATTGGTGGTTGAGAGTCTTTTGACTATAAACGTTGCATGTACTGTAAGGTAACGGGTCGTTTGACCAGAAGAAAACCTCTTGTGGTGTGACATCTTGCCTTCGAGGTTGGACTTGAGAGTTTGAGGTCTCCCTTGTCTTCTCGATTGACACGATGCGGCGTTGGGGTAGTGAGCTACCCCAATTAGCTTATTCGATTGGGATGCGAATCTGTTTAGCGGCAGAATTGCGTCCGGGGGAAGCCCCTATACTATTTCAGGTGACACTAGCTAGTTGTTGAAGATTATTAACCAATAGATCCGAATAATATTTGAATTAGATGGAAGATATGAAATGTGATATATTGCATAACAGTCAGTGATGTCAGTGGTTAGGGGGCGTAGTACCCCCGGGTGAGTATTACTATTTAATTATCAATTTTATCCAGATCAGTAAATGTTTGTTTTGTTATTTTCATGTACAATGAGAGAGTGCTTGCCAATGACCAACTAAATGGATATTTGAGGTGAATTTGCATTGTGAGACCCGGTTGAGTAAGCCCCAGAAATAAGCGATTTTACAATACGATATGTCAACCTTTGACATTTTCGCATATGGTTTATTTAAAATTGTAACATGCGGTTCATAACGACAATTTGACTCAAAATACCAAGTGTGTGGTACCAAATTATTCGTAAAAAAATGCTTTTTCCAAATATGCTAATGAGCCACCCTCGTTCCATTTGAAAAAATTCAGATATGATTAAAAACACGATTTGGATATCTTTTAACCGACCAGGACAAGACACGAAAAACATTAGACGATCAAATCTATATATTTTTCCAATACTCCTTGATTAAAAATTAGAGTTTTTAACACAACCATGGCATTTATTAAAGCGAAAATGTCACAAGTTGACATATGATATGTAATTCTATTTAGAATGTCATTTTCTATCGAATAAAATAAAAAAATACCGATGGTGCCATTTAAAAATCAAAAGTTGTAGTCATTTCCGGTGAAAAACAATTGAATGTGCCAATCAATCCTAATTTATGTCATATACTGTAAACCGGGACTACTTCGGACAGCACGGGTAAATTCGGACAACGGGTCCTTAAAAGAGAAAAAAATTGAGGGGGGTAGCGAAATCATCAAAGCGGCCGCGTGTGGACTGGAACGTGTTTAAAACAGTTGTCCTCAGACGTTTCTTGAGTTTTTCTGAATTTTTTACGTCAATTTTTGTAAGTATGCAATTTTTATTGTTTTTTTTTAATGGAAGAAGTTACTGGCGTACAACTAAACCTATTATTCATAAAGTCGTACTTTTTTCAGTATTCAGTAAGTATATTATCTGAAAATGTTTTATGTAATTTGAAGATTTTTAATCGTTCAATTTTTATTTCCAGATTGTAAAATCGCTTATTTCTGGAACTTACTCAACCGGGTCTCACAATGCAAATTCACCTCAAATATCCATTTAGTTGGTCATTGGCAAGCAGGCTCTCATTGTACATGAAAATAACAAAACAAACATTTACTGATCTGGATAAGATTGATAGTTAAATAGTAAAACTCACCCGGGGGTACTTCGCCCCCTAGCCACTGGTATTCTATTCAACATAACCCATTCCATATCTTCCATTTAATTCAAATATTATTCGGATCTATTGGTTAATCTTCAACAACTAGCTGGTGTCACGTGAAATAAGTATAGGGGCTTTCCCCGGACGCAAATCTGCAGCTAAACAGATTCGCATCCTTAATAGTCAATAAGACTCGCATCCTAATAGTCAATAACACTCGTATCCTAATAGTCAATAAGACTCGTATCCAAATAGTCAATAAGACTCGTATCCAAATAGTCAATAAGACTCGTATCCTAATAGTCAATAAGACTTGTGACCAAATAGTCAATAAGACTCGTATCCTAATAGTCAATAAGACTCGTATCCTAATAGTCAATAAGACTCGTATCAAAATAGTCAATAAGACTCGTATCCAAATAGTCAATAAGACTCGTACCCAAATAGTCAATAAGACTCGTATCCTAATAGTCAATAAGACTCGTATCCTAATAGTCAATATATCCTATAGTATAGTATATCCTAATCCTTTATACCTAACCTAACCTAACCTTAGTCATAAGACTCGCAACCTCCAAATGTCAGCTCTGTGACAAAACACAACACAACACTACTTTACAACCGGCCGTCCCGTCTACTACTGACTGACCTGCCGCGCGCCGGCAAGCTAAGCCTCCTCTTACATCACATTTTTACCTGATCACAAATATTTACATCGCTTGCCAATGAATCATACTATTTTCTCTAATCGACTTTCAAATTAATAGAGTGTTCTAGCATTGCTAGATAAATAAATAGAGAGTTTCCGAATTATAAAACCATTATTATAACCAACTTATTTTCCAAGTTTTACAAGATGGTCGTATACAAAAAAATCATATTTTGAAGGCTAACTTCGGACATGGTTCGAAGTTACAAAAAGCAACTGGGGACTCGCACCTACCAAAATTATTCACCAGAGAGGTTACAGCAAGCAGTAGCAGATGTCAAAGCCAAGCGAAAAACCTTAAGAGAGGCGGCTGAGTATTATAGGATTCCCAATTGGGGATAAAGTTAAGGGGATTCATGATAAGAATCCAGGACGGCAACCAGTGCTGAGTATCGAGGAAGAGACAAAGTTTTTGACTGATATTTTTAGAAATAATCAATCTTTTGTAATAAAAATACCTTAAATAATGTTTGAAGTTATTAATGTTTTGAGTTTTTATTAAAAAATAATAAACTTGATTTTTTTTTAAACTTAAATTTTTGTAAGAAGTTTTCCTTTTAACTGGTATAACATCAAATTTACACATTTTTAAAGGCAAAGGCCCCACTTTTTAAACAAAAAAATTGGCGCCGGGAGGCACGTATAGCCGCCCATACTAAAATATGTTAATAAAAAGTTGGTAGGCAGTTCTTTTAGTATCAAAGTAAAGGAATTTTTCCAATTTATTTTTATCTCAAAAACTGCGACTTTGACTGATTTTGATGTTATTACAAATTTTGTTGCAAATATTATTCCTAATCTTAAATTGAAAACCGCGTTTCGCTACTGTAATTTTGGAGTTACGATTTTTTAAAATTTTTAACCCCCTCCCATACCCCCTTAACAACCCCCCACCCCCACCAAAAACTAATGGCCAGATTCTCGGGTGCCACAGTATTTTTGTGCCAAATTTGGTTAAAATCGGTTTAGAGGTTTTTGAGTTATCGTGTTACAGACGGACAGACAGACAGACAGACACCATGAAAATATTTTGTATTTAGGTCATTTATGACCCAAATAACTCATTTTGAGTGAAATTAAAAAAACTTTTTTTTTGCTGATATTAATAACCTACCATACCTATTGGCATGGTCGGCTAAAATATATACGTTAGAAAAAGAAAGTTTAACATTTTTTTTTAGTTAGACATAGGGGAAGGATGTAGTAACCCACACAAAAAATATTGGTTAAATTTGAACACACTTAGGTCAAGAAACTTACAAAAAACCTCAAAAACTGTCCGAAGTAGCCCCGTTTTACGGTACTAACATACACCAAATTTTGTTTTTTCATCTGTAAAAATAAAAAAGTTATAGGGGTAAGCCACTTTTGAGACGCACCCGGTATAGCTTAAATATTAAATTATTAGATGCATCATAAGTAGTTCTGCGGCTAATCCATTTTCTGACCCATAATCCTCTTTTACGTCTTGATTTTTTACGTAACAAATGTTCTGTTAATAATTATATTGCCATCATATTGAAAATTTGAAGTACCGCCTTACGCACTGTCGCCATTTTGAGTCAACTAACAGAAACTTTTTGACATGACATGAAATGTGTAAATTCGGAATATTTGTTCAAGTAGACTTGAACAATTAACTTGACTGATGTAAAAGCACCTTTAGAATAAAATTATAATTTTTATTTTCACTGTCTTATTCTTGTTTCATAGAGCGAAAATGTGGCTACCAGTATTTTTAAGAGCGACTGGTACACTTACAGCCCTAAGATAAAAAGGATGATGCTAATTGTTTGTATCCGATCCCAAAAACCCTTGGTTATGACCATCGGGCCTACATGGAGCGTTCAAGTGACATCCCTATTCCAAGTACGTACAAATCTGATTTATTTTCAGTCGATTTATGATAATTTTTTAATCCCTCAATTATCTGACAGCTACGACCAATATTATATGACATTCGAACAATTTAATTTTTGAAATAGATAGCCACATATCTTCTCTTTCTGCCACAGTGGCTGTGGTAATCACTAAATTTGTTGTTTAGACTATTAGTCTAAGAGCTGGCTACATAAAAAACCTTATCATCGTTACATGGCTAATTTTTTGTGTGAAGTATCCTTTTGTGTAGCCATTATGAAATAGCCATGTCTGCCTTAAAGCGGCCAATCGAAAGGGTGAAATTTTGACACTAAAAATAATATAAGATACATGAGTTTTAACTGCGAAAATAGCTTTTATTTATTATTAAGAAACATGGAAAATTGTTGGCAAACATTTTTCCAGTCGCTAAAATGTCGACAAACAACGCGAAAGAGGCATGAAATTTTAAAAATTATTAAAAAATTAAATTTGAAGAATGAAAAAAATTATGGCATATTTGCGTGCCGATTGGTGAAATGTCATATTTATTTATTTTAAAAGCCGTATGCAAAAGGGCAGACAAAAAGATCGTGGCTCAATCAGCTGCAGACAGATATCAAAAGCGCGATATTACTCTAGCCCTTTCAGGGAACGCTCGCCGCCTCATCCATTTCACTATAGATAAATCATATAATATATGATTATATTATAAATATATTTTTTTATTATTTCAATAACGATTTTTTTGTCTGTCCAAAAGGGCCCCGTATGTGCAAAAGCACATACGGCTTTTTAAATTAATTAACAATAAACATGACATTCCACCAACCGACATGCATGTATGCGATGATTTTCTTTTGTAAAAATTCTATGCCTCTTTTGCGTTGTCTGCCGGCATTTCAGCCACGAGAAAAATATCTGTCAACAATTTTACACGTTTCCTAATAATAAATAAAAGCTATTTGGTAATTATAACTCCTGTACCTTATAATATTTTTAGTGTCAAAATTTCACCCTTTCGATTGGCCGCCTCCGCTTTAAGCCCCGGGATCGCGCTGGCAGACATGACTATTTCACAATGGCTACAAAAGGATACTTCACACAAAAAATTAGCCATGTAACGATGATAAGGTTTTTAATGTTGCCAGCTCTCGGTCTATATATAGATTTTTTTGACAGGCAGTTTTTTTCTCCAAAAATTTTTAATATTTTTTTTCGGTTAATGTTAGGTATAAAGTGTTTGATATCAAAATTCATAAAATTTTACAGAGAATTAAAGTATGTAATAAAAAATGGGGGTACCCATTTAAAATAAAAAAGTTGCTATCAACTTCCGGTATTTCCGGAAGTGCCGCCATATTGAAAATATTTTTAATCGATAGATCTCTTTGCGGATTATTAATGTGCAAAATCTAATAATCCTAATCTCCGATCTAGAAATTGTATAAGTTCTCTAGAAACTACTGATGCACGCTCAGCCTGGGACACCCTGTATGTCTAAGTATCCAGGATTGGAGTATTTGGGTCGAGAAGTAAATACTCCGAACTCCGAACTAATGGGCACCATCCTACAGAATATTTTTTTTGGAAAATTTTTTGAAAGTTTTGTTGGAATTTTTGTTTTTAAGTTAAAAAACATAATCTCTCGATGATATGGCAACATAAAATAGGTAGTAGATTAGATTACAAGAAAGAAAATCCAAGAAAGACACAGTGGTTCTCAAAATCACAAATTTAAACTTTCCTATGGCAACCATAGATAGATAGATAGTAACACACTTTCGAAGCACAGGGTATAATATAAGATTTTTTGTTTCAGATTTTCAAAGCACTCTACTCTTATGTCTGTATAATTATGAGGAACTGATGAGGATGATGACGATAAGTTCCCAATAGATATACCGGGTGTGTATCAGTGTATCTCAAAAGTGGCTCACCCCTCTAACTTCTTTATTTTTTCAGATAAAAAACGAGATTTGGTTATGAAATAAATTAGGACTGACTGACGTATATTCAATTGATTTTGGTCACTTCCGGTTTCACCGGAAATGGCTACAACTTTTGATTTTTAAATGGCACCCTGGGTATTTTTTACTTTATAGAGTGTAAGTGTAATGACTACGTTAAAAACTCTAATTCTTAATCAAGGAGACTTGGAAAAATAGATTTGATCGTCTAATGTTTTTAGTGTCTCGTCCTGGCGGATCAGAAAATGCCCAAATGGTATTTTTATTTTTATGGTATATTTTATCATATCTCAATTTTTTCAAATGGAACGAGGGTGGCTCATTAGCATATTTGGAAAAGGCATTTTTTACGAATAATTTGATACCACACACTTGGTATTTCGAATCAAATTTTCGTTACGAACGGCAAGTTATAAATTTCAAATAAACCATATGCGAAAACGTCAAAAGTTGACATATGATATGTCATTCTATTCAGAGTGTTATTTTCTATCGAATAAAATACCGAGGGTGTCATTTAAAAATCAAAAGTTTAGTCATTTCCGGTGAAACAGGAAGTGGCCGAAAACAACTAAATACGTCAATCAATCCTAATTTATGTTATATACTAACATACCAAATATCTTTTTTTATCTGAAAAAATAAAAAAGTGATAGGGTCTCAAAAGTGGCTCCACTTTTGAAACGCACCCGGTATTGATCACAAAATACTGGACGTCGGAAACCTGGAATTGGATAATTTATTTTTCAACACTTGCTTGCTAATATAGAAATGCTTAGATTGCTTTCCAAATGGAACTAATACCATAGTAAAATACTATGCTAATACCGTATACTCGAAAAAACGGCGTCCAGTTGGCTTGGAAATGACGATCGATGACATTCCCATATAATTTTACATGTAAAATAACAGCGCTCTTCATTACATAGCCATCGCTGACGCCGTTTTTTTTTCGATCATACGATACATAGAGATGCTTAATTTATTATTGATAAAGAGTAATGAAATAAAGGAATATAAAGTAGTATTTTTCTTATTTAGATATTATAGGCTTGGTGCTTTCTCCGCCGGTGCTGCCACCATCGGAGAATATTGTAAACAGCGGTCTAAACAAATACTCGGGTTTAAATAGCGAATACCCGAAAAATTTGTTATATAATTTTTCTAAAAGTGTTAAGGTGCGTATTCATTATCCGCACGAACGAACGAACGAACGAATGTTCGCTAGTGGTATGGACGGGGACCGCACGAGAAGACCGGAGGCATTTGTTGGCGAACGCCTCTGATGTACCGACTCGAAACGGATGGTCGAGCGAACGAACGAACGGCCGCATGCGTTCGGTCCCCGTCTAAATACACCGCACTTTCATTCGTTCGTTCGTTCGTTCGGATAATGAATACGCACCTTTAGGAAGTATAATTTGTGAAAATTCTAAAAATAAAAATATAAAAGTAAATATTTTGATATCTTCAGAAGGTCTAAGGTCTAAAAACTTGTATTCTATCTATCTATTATAATTGATTATTCAAGCTAATAAAACTTTTTAGATGAGTTCAACTACAATGGTGGGCATAGTTTTACGCACCGGTTTTGCTAGTGGGGACTTAATTGGGGCTGTTTCGGCTATAACGAAATTTTTAGGCACATAATTATAATTTTAGATGTTCATAAAAAAATTAAGCACTATAGTTGATTAAAGGAAGTATAACATTAATATTGCAAATTATATTTTTTTCCTCTCACAGTATATGTCTATTTAATTGTTTGATTATGTAATGGGCACTTTGTTTACTCACTTGTTTCGTCGAAGTGCTTGAATCCATTTTTGCTTTTGATCAAATCGTTGTGAGAAGCTCTGAAGCTAGTTATATGTATAAATAAGTGTTATTTCATTGTAATTAAATACTGAATGCCTATTTTACATTATGTCACATATAAAAGCGAACTGCACGGTTCAAAGCAGACTTTTCACTCTCTGTACTTTGTCGAGAACGTTTGTAACAATAAAATCGTTTTTAAAAACAACTCTGTTAATTCAGACTTCAAAACTGGCGCAGTCGGTAGGATTTCGTGTATTCCCTTTCGAGTGTCACATGCAGTGGTAAATCGGGAAGTGCGGTTTCAACCCTTAAACGCGAAATTCGAACAAAAACTTTGTGAAGTGAAGGACAGGATAGTGCAATCGATCCGGATTAGCTGTCTAAACCTGAACGAGCAAAGAAAGTTGTCGCAAAACCACCCCGACGAAGAAAGCAGAGAGCGGAGTCCAGGAAAAGGACAGGAAAGACTTCAAAAAAGAAGTAAGTGCCTTCCTTTTTTGCCCCTTTTGGTATACCTCTGTTTAAGGAAATCAGTAGGGATAGTTATAGGAGCAGTCTATCGCAGACATTAGATTAAGAAAACCAAAAAACCAAAAAGTAAAAAGAATTCTTACTAGTAAAGTAACAAAGAAAAAGTTACCTAGTACTACATTTTTATTAAGTAAAAATAATTAAAAAATAAATATAAAAATAAAATAAAATTTACGCTCATAGATCGTAAATGAAAAACTAGCACGTTCATGAGTGTAGACGAGTTAGCGGACAGACTATCAAATTTAACAGTAAAACTTAATACACAAATAAATAAAATGAATGCGAGAACAAGTGCTTCAGAAAATGAAAATATGCGAACTGTAAATTGGGATATTTTTAAGTCAAAAGTACAAAATATTAAGCCCTTTGACGGAAACAGTAATACATTAAATACTTTTATATTTAAATGCGAATCACTTTTACTAAAATATGCTACCGTACCAGACGAGGATTTTAAACAGCATGTTTTTAAGTGCGTACAGTCCAAATTAGTGGGAAAAGCCGAAATAATGATAGGAAACAGATTGGAATTAGACAATTGGTCAAAATTAAAAGCCGCTTTAATACAATGTTTCTCAGATAGACGTGACTTAGATTGCTTAATCCAAGAATTGACGAGAACGCGACCGTTTAAAAACGAACATCTCTTAAGTTTTGGCAGCAGATTACAACTCTTAAAAAGTAACGTAATTCAAAGAATCAGTAACGATACGTGCCTAGCGCCTCTAGAGAAAACGTGTCAGATAAGCCACTATGATAAGACCGCGTTAAATACATTTATTACAGGTTGCAGCGGAACTTTAAGAAACAATCTTTACATTAAAAAACCGACATCCTTAGAAGATGCAATGGCGTGCGTAAATGAATTTGAAAATTTTGAAATGCTCTATGGCAGTTCTAACGAACAAAACAAGGTGTACAAAACACAAAATTTCCATCAAAAACCAGCACAACAAAATTTCCAAAATCAAAATAATTTTTCTAACACAACAAATTTTCCACACAACAATTCTAACTATCAAAATAATAATAGACAACAATTTAATAATCAAAATCAATTTAATCACCCAAATCAATACAATCAATTCAATCAAAATGTACCTAATACAAATTTTAACCAAAAACAACCTTGGCCTTGTCAACCAATTAATATTACTCCAAGAGAAATGCCTCCAAGACGATATCCAACAAATAGAGAAGTCTTTGGACCACCTATAAATGTCTTTAAGCCAAAGCCCATTCCACCACACCAACAATCAAAACCAGAGCCTATGTCTACAACTTCAGCAAACCCATCTTTTGCTTCGAAGAAAAGGGATAGTCAAATCCAATCATATCAGAATAGACAGTATCCAATACCTTTCCAAGCAACTGGACCACCAGATTTCACCTTTCAAGAATTATTTACTAATGAATACAACGAAAACATGAATAATTATGCGTACCAAGACACAACAAATACGCATCCCTATGAACAAAACTATAATTATACCGATTATAACAATTATGACGAATACGAAAACCAATATTCTGAAGAATACCCTGTTCATAGTTTGGAAGAAGAATTTCAACAGGAACCCGAATACGAGAAAGTTGTTGAGGAACAAAAATCCTGCACAAGAGGAAATTTTCGGAAACCCAGCCAGAAAGAAGGAAAAACATGATAGAAATAAACATCTGTTCAAGTAACGCTCTTCCGTATGTAGAAATAAAACATCCTAAGTTAAAATTATTAATCGATACCGGAAGCTCGCGCTCTATTTTAAAACCATCTATTGTGGAAAACCTTTTCCCGAACTGTATCTATCAAACAACCAATATAATCAAAACAGCTATTGGTCAAAAATCAACAAAATATCAAGCTGACCTCTCATTCCCGGAATTTGGAAGAAATCATAAAATTAAATTTATTTTATTTGATTTCCACGATTATTTCGATGGAGTTATAGGTTTAAAAGACTTAATAAATATGAACTTAAATATCGATTTAACTAATAAAAGATTAATAAACAATTTTGTCGAAATACCGTTCAAATATCGCCAACCGGAAGAAATAAATTTTCTTTTTCTATAAACCCTCACGAAAAACTAATAAAAAAAGTTCCAGTTAATATTTTTCAAGGAGAAATTATAACTCGACCAAAAGAAGAGTTCGATTACAATATCGAATACAAAAAAAGGCAAACAAAATCAAGCAGCCGATGCGTTATCAAGAATACCAATAAATAATCAAAGAGTTAAACGCCTTAGAGACAGAATCAATCGATAATAACCCAGGAGATATTGACGAAGTAATCGAAGAATTAATAAAAATATAGAAAGTTTACCTGATATAGAAGAAAAGAATTAGAAGAAATATTAGGAATAAAACCTAAACCAAAAATAATTATCCACTCAGATATACAAATAAGACCACCAAATCCTATAAAGAAAAAGAATCAACTGATCTAGAAACACGTCATACCTCTCTAGAAGAACCAATAATAGGTCTCCCTATTTCAGAACGTTCATTAAACACTTATAAAAATCAAGTAATATTCACCTACGGAGAAATCGATAATATAAAATGTAGACACGAACAAATATTCAAAAATACTCGAATATATGTAACTATATCACAACGCCGATCAACAGAAAACTTTGTAAAATTTCTCAAAGAATTTATTGACCCCAAACAAACTTATGCTATGTATTTTAAAGATCAATTAATAGCTAGAAATTTTATCATTACTTTACAAAAATTATTTAAAAATACTGCATTTAATTTTATTCAGTGTAGTAAATTTCTAAACGATATCGAAACATTAAACGAGCAAAAAGAAAAACTTGAAATGTACCACACGACAAAAACTTGTCATCGCGGTATCAATGAAATGAAAAACGCTTTAACATCAAAATTTTACTGGCCAAAAATGAGCGAAGATATTGAAAACTACGTAAACAATTGTGAGACTTGTCAGAAAAATAAGTACGATCGAAGTCCACCCATCGTAAAATTTAATTTAACACCTACAACATCGAAACCTTTCGAACAAATCCATATTGATACATTTAAAATATCAAATGAGAGCTTTTTAACAATTATAGATGCTTTTTCTAGATATGGACAAGCATATCATTTAAACGCTTTAACAGGTCCTACGATAATCGAAAATCTATACACTTTTATAACCCATCACGGTTTACCTTTGAAAATAACAACCGATTGTGGAACCGAGTTCAAAAACAAAGGAAGTAGAAGATTTTTGTAAACTCTATAAAATTGAGATACACTATACAACACCGAAAAATAGTACATCAAACTCACCTGTAGAGATTTCACTCATCTCTAATCGAACATTATAGATGTCTAAAAAGTGATCATCCAAATCTTAGTCCCAGTCAATTAATAAAACGATCTATATTAGGATATAATAATTCAATTCATAGCGTAACAAAACATACACCTTTTGAAATAATTAAAGGGCATATAAATAACACTGACCCATTCGATTTAAATGACGAAATAATAGTATCAAATTATATACAAAACATAAAGAACAAGCTGAAGATCTTTATAGAAATATTCAAAGTATAAACGCAAGAACTAAGGAATTAATTATAACAAAACGAAATGAGAAAAGACAAGATCCACCTGAATTCCTTAAATCAGATGTAGTTTATATAAAAACAAAAAGCTAGAGGAAAAGATCAACCTAAATTTAAAAAAAGGCAACAATCGAAAAAGAAGATCAAATTAAATTAATAACAAATAAAGGAACATATCATAAAAGCCTAGCTAGAAAACCTAAGGTAAAGGAAAAATCAAATTTTCAGGAAAACAACGATGGAGAAGATCCAGATCCTGCTGATATTCCTGGTACTTCACACGAAGACAATTCTGTCACAGGACATCGAACTTAAAACTATACAAAACCCTATTTTGCCTATGCAACTAGGAACCTCTAAGTTAGTTTATTCTAAGCACACATTTTTACATTATATAGATATAAACCCTATTATTAATCAATTAATTAATATAGAACAATGCTTTTCGCTTATTAAAAATCATGTAAATAAAGAAAACGTTACTAACCATATGTCATATTATGGATTATCAGAAAGTACTTTATTAAGAACGCAATTCTTGATCGATTCAACACAAAATAAATTAAAGAATCTTTATCCGCACATTAGGACAAAGCGTGGATTAGTAAATATTGTAGGAAAAACCTCTAAATGGCTTTTCGGTACACTAGATTCTGAAGACGGACAAAAATATCAAAATGCTATAAATAAGCTAGAACAAAATCAAAAGGCTTAATAAACGAAGCTAATTTACAAATTTCCTTATCGAAAAACTTAATAAATAATTATAATAAAACAATTGTTTCTCTAACTACAAATCAGCAAAAATTAGAAAAAAGTCTGAAACTATTCCAACAAACAGTTGATAAAACTATATCAAATCTAAATGCATACTTGAATTTTCAAGGCATTGTTTCGCAACTTAATCTAGACTGCCAGAGTCTGATTACTTTTCTCGATAATCTCGAAGACGCGATTATGTTTGCAAAGTTGAACGCCTTACATAACGTTATCATATCAAGCTACGAGTTAAATGAACTATTAAATTACTTAAGAAAAATTTATAAAAATAACGAAGTTCCAAATTTTAAAAAATATATTAACCTATTATCAGTTATTGGGTACACAGGTAACATTTTCTGAAAATAAATCAATTTTCGCTATACACGTTCCTATAATTAGATCTAAGGAATACACCTTTTACCACCTATACCCAATTATCCTAAATCAAAATATTTTCATTCCCAAATACCCATTCCTGGCACAAGAAGACCAGTCATACCAATTTGAGGAAGAAGCATGTCCATTCCTGGAAGAAAAATACTTCTGTCAAGAAAACTTCCATGCACGAGACGAATGCACTATCCAACTACTGTCCGGAAACTTCAATTGTTCAACGATCCACATCGACATAAAAGAATCCGTCATTGAACAAATCACACAAAAGAAATTCTACTCTTGCCAGCCAAAGAAGAACGAATATATGCACAATGCAGAATCAATCAATACATCAATGTTAAGAAACCAACTTTAATAAATATTCCATCCGAATGCCAAGTGACCATCGATTCAAGAACATATAGAAACGATGTTCAACTAAGAAGGAAAACCTTTAATCCTGCCTGAGGTACAACTAGAAAATCTTGAAAAACCAAAGTCCAAATTCGAATATATTGCTCGAAGCTATCGAAAATCAACTTCGACGATATATACGAGATAAAAGAAAAATTCAATGAACTATCACCGATCAAAGAAGACGAAGAAAGAACCTATCAACCAGTCATCTTCGATATTGCGATTATTTTCATTTGTCTAATAATTGCAATATACCTAGTGTTCAGAAAATACCCACAACTCAAGAAGTACTTTCCATGTTTAAAGAAGAAGAAGAACAGCATGTTCCAGTCCCACAGAAGAGGACCCCCGAAAATAACTCCGTTATTTTCTTGTCTTAACAGGGGAGGAGTTATATGTATAAATAAGTGTTATTTCATTGTAATTAAATACTGAATGCCTATTTTACATTATGTCACATATAAAAGCGAACTGCACGGTTCAAAGCAGACTTTTCACTCTCTGTACTTTGTCGAGAACGTTTGTAACAATAAAATCGTTTTTTAAAAACAACTCTGTTAATTCAGACTTCAAAACTAGCTATAAAATGTTGTTTCGGGAAAGTTGAATTATTGAATGTTATTGCACCCAACAACGCCCTAATCACGCTCTCCTTTACGCGTTAACATTTTCTCAGCAATTTGATTAACATTTGAAATTGTCACAACACAGCACGACGCCCAGTTCGTGTTCTTTTTGACTTAATTTTTCACTTTTCACTTAATTACTACCCGAAACAGCGTTACATCACATAAACCTTGTAACTAAGTGTTTTGCGAGTGAAAATTAACAAAATCATGAAAATTAAATTTTTAGAGAAGTCCTAAACATAGATAAAAGACACAAAACATCCCCCTTTAGAACTTCGTCTGTCATGTTAAGAAATGAAAGTAAATAATAAAGCACCTCTCGTGTTTGTTCGCAAGCTAAAAATTTCAATTATTGCCTGTATATATTTTTTAAATTTACATTTTTTTAATTGTAAAGTAATATATTACATTTAAATGGAATATATTACATAACAATTATGTCAATTACAGGATTACAAGCTTGTTTTCTAACATTTTTTTAAATAAAACGAATTATAAAATTTCAATATATGTATATTTGTCGTAGGTATGAAAAAAGTAAAATATAAAATGGACAAACGCTTACTTACATTGCAATAAAACTTCCACTTTTCGTTTTCAACAATCAAAGAACAATCTAAACGCAATTATTTCTATTTCACAAATAAAAATATCCGACAACACTAAAATCACTGAAACTTCCGCGGCTGACAACGAAAACTGAAAAATATAACGGCACTTTTGTTTTGGACCTGCATATCAACATAACGCTGTACTATTATTGTATTATTTTGAAATAATATAAAATATCTAATTATAACTTGTAAATTTTAATAGTTTAACATGATTTTAACTATTTCTGACATTAACTAACTTTTTGTTATCAAGATGACATTTTAGACGGCAACTGACATATATGTCATAATATTTAAATTTTAAATATGTAAATATAATTTAAATTAATATAATGCAACTTTATACTAAGAAAACATTTATACATTCACAAAATACAACAAAGTATAATAATATAGTTTGAAAACAATGAATATTGAGTTAAAATTAAAATAAAAAATAAAAAAGTTAAGCGCGACCCCTTGTGTCAAAATTAGATAATTAAATTTTCGCAATTTTTACACCATTTGATGACCGGTGGCGCCTCTAGTGTTTGTTCGGGCGGTTGGTCTTTTACTCCCGCTTATGGCCATTAAAGAAAAAGTTCTAAAGGGGGATGTTTTGTGATAAAAGAAAATAATCTTCTGGTCCTAAACATCAAAACGCGTTTCTATGGTAACATAATCTCGTTTACATTCTTTGATAGATTTTTATTGACAGAATTTTAGTTAACGTCTTTAAATGGAAATTATATTACCATAGATTGGCCTTTTGATCTTAAGGACTTACAAAAAATTGAACCATATTTTAACATGATTTTAACAGAGACAAGCAAATTTTTTTTACAAAGAAAGCATTTTTCTCAAACTGTCTATAATAAAAAAGTTTTTCCTGTTGTAACGACAATCCACGGACATACTGTATATTTGTATCTTATTATTTAATATATTTTTAAAATAATTTGGATATAAATAAGGATATTATTTATATCCAAAGATGATCCAAAGCCAAAGAAAATATAAACGAAAGTCAGTCATCTTAAAAAAGAAGTTTATTATTTTATTACAAGCTCTATATAAAATAAATTACAGTTATATCCAGAAGTAACAGATTTTCAAAAAATCTTAAAACTTAATTTTAAAAAATACATTTCATATAAACTTAAAAATAATAGATTAAGTACAAAAATTAAATTTATAAAATTTAAACAGCCATCGTCATGTTTAGTTTGGGATGAGGATTGTATCCACTCAATTCGAAATCTTCAAATGTAAAATCCTCGATGTTTTCAACTTTCCTCTTAATTCTCAAAGTAGGAAAAGGCCGTGGTTCCCTAGTCAGCTGCTCCTTCAAGGCATCAACGTGATTCAGGTAGACATGACTATCACCCAAGGTATGTACAAACTCTCCCGGCTAAGAAAATAACAAATTTACCTATTTAGTAAAAATAAAATTTATATTTTACCTTCAAGTTAGTAATATGAGCTATCATATAGGTAAACAAGGCATAGCTGGCAATATTAAAAGGCACTCCCAATCCCATATCTGCAGCTCTTTGATACAATTGACACGACAGTTCCCCATTAGCCACATAAAACTGTGCTAGACAATGACAAGGTGGTAATGCCATTTCTGGAATATCTACAGGATTCCACGCGCACATAATCATTCTTCTATCACTCGGATTTGTCTTAATTGTATTGATAACATGGGCTAATTGATCTATACCTTTGTTTCGGTAATTGGCGTGCATACCTTTATACTCTGCCCCGTAATGCCTCCACTGAAACCCATAAATGGGACCCAAATCGCCCTCCTCCCTATCCTTTAATCCTATGGAATCCAGGAATTCTCTCGTACTGTTAGCATCCCATATGTGCACGTTTTTATCTTTCAACTCTTGCACGTCGGTACTTCCTTTGATAAACCAAAGCAGCTCCTCCACAACACCTCGCCAAAAGACCCTTTTGGTCGTGAGAAGTGGAAAAACATTGTCTCTTAGGGAATAACGCATCTGAGCTCCAAAAACAGCATAAGTACCTACACCGGTTCTATCTGGCCGTTTAACGCCTTTGTCCAGAATATATTTAATATGATTTAAATACTGATATTCTTCGTGTGGTGGACATTCTAGAGGCACGGGGATACGTTCTACATGGCCGTTTGTGTATTTCGTAGGCATCTTACCGTTTACTTCCATCGTGATGGCTAAATTGCTGAAATACAAGGAAAATATAAATATAATTTAATTTAATTATTTAAATAAGTTAATTTGATAATTAATAATAATATTCAAATTAAAGAATAATTAAACACATTTAAATATAACGAGACAAACAAAATAACATAAAAAAAGCAAATATACACTGATTGAAAAGACAATATAAAGAGTTTCAAAATACATTAAAACGACACAACATTTATTAATATTAATTACTAAAATTATTCTTAACACCACACTCACTTACTTCTATCTTTTAATACTCACTAAAACTGTTTTAAATTCAATAAAAATACATTTATTCCGCACGCTAATATTTTCATACCCTACATAGAACCGCTATGATTAAAACTTTAGAAGATATTAAATCAAATATTAACAATCCCATTCTTATATGAAGGAAGCAAGATCCCCCAGTTCGTTTTGTTATTGTTAATAGCGATAAACGTTAAAAATTCTTTATATTATCGTTTCAATTAATTCGTGATTATCAGTCCAGTACATGTCCAGTACTCACCAAGACAGTAATTGGCGAAATTATCGGCTATTTAACGAGTTTTTTTTTACTTTTTATCTGGAAGACACGTTATGAATTCATAGTTAAATTGTTAAATGCTCGGGTTACATGCATGGTACAAAGAATACAAGGTATGATATTGCGCAGGTTGGTCGCTACGTCACAGGTGATAACAGGCGCTATTGGTCAGCACGCTCCGCGCGCCAGTTCAAATCGTCAAGATATTGTTATAAACCTGTTTTTTTGTTTATATACCGTCATTGAATTATCGCTAAGCAAGTTACTGTGGAGCAGTGCGTAAGGAGTTGGGCTAGGAAGCGAGACCGGAGTTCGAATCTCGGCCGGGACATAACTTTTATTTATTTTTTAAATACTGTTGTATTCTATAGTTTATTTTTGTAGTATAAAAAAAAAAAGAACTATTTATTCTGTTATTTTTAATCTCCGTTATTAATATAAATTGATTGTTAGTACAATACCTCATTTAATATAAAATAATATTCTACTTTTTGAAATGTATCGGGCCCTAATTGTACCTAAAAGTAATATATTTTTAGTGATATACCATATTGTAAACTATTTAATATTTTAGTCACTTAAAAAGTTAATTTGCATTGAATAATTGCCTACCATTAAAGGAAATTTGAGCTATATAATCCTTGATGGGCATATTCTGGGTATGCAAATACTTCCTTTAAATTTTGGGTGTCGTTCAACCGATTTATTCTCAAAACCAGAAACTTCTACATATAAAAAGAAGCAGAGGTCACTAATTATAATAAACTTCACCCTTGGTATTACTTCCACTAATTATAATAAACTTCACCCTTAGAATTACTTCTATCACAATTACAATACGTTCATCTGCATTGGCATTTTCTACTTTTCGATGGGAAACAATAAACTTCCCAATATTTTTTAAATGATGTAACAATTCCTCTTGTGGTTACTTTTCCATAGATATCCTCAACTCTGTCCTCATGTGAATTCAGAGGCAATGAAAATGAAAATTATTTACCATAAACATCGCAAACTAAAAACCTAATAAACAATTTTATACCGAATATAGAAATAAATTCAGTATTCTTACCTATCGTCCAAATCCATGTTAATAGATAATTATTATTTTTAAATATATTTTTGGAACTGCTGGTTTTAGTAATTATTAAATTAAACGAACTAAAAAGTCTTAAAATAAACAATTCTTAACCATAACCCCAAAAAATGCAGATCTCCTGTCAACTTTCTTTATTTTTTATTTATTCATTATTTTCCTAGTGACGTCACAGGTGGTATGCGTGAACTGAACGAAATTGGAGCCGCTATCGATCATACCTTGTATTCTTTGTACCATGGGTATTGGTTACATGTCAGATTTCCCGCCAGAAAGAAATCAGAACTCAAGTGTCTACGAAGCACGAAGTCTATTCAATGGCAGGGACGGCGCATCTTTTAAATTATTACAACCCTTTTTCAAGTTTTGTTGTAAATTTGTGTGGATAAAAAGACATATACACAAAATATTGAATATACGTATGTATTATCAACATATTCTTTGTATTATCATTAAAAAAATTCAAATATAATAAACTTTAAAAGATTAAAATTAATCTAATTCTCCTAATCTGGAACTGTTTTTTATATAAGAAAGAATTTTTTTCTGTTTTTTAACTTTTTAAAAACTATTTTTAAATACGTTAATTACAATAATCAGTTTTTGAAATATTTATAATTTTGCAAAAATGAAATAAATGCTAATGCTTTATTTCTCTAGGCCTATTATATATTTTTAAAGTAAATATACGTTTTTATCTATTAAAAATTGTGTTGGAATAATAAAAATTATACTGTGCTTAAACAGGGTATCTTAAAAATTAATAGCTTTAAACGACAATAACTTACTTAAATTTAAAAGATGGGGTTTTTTTTATTTTGATTTTGCATAAAGTTTCAAATTTATTTTCTACATTTTAGTTTTCTTTAAGTTTTTGTAGAATATGCAACGTAGGTTTTTACGTGTTTTAAAAAGTATTTTTCTAATTGTAAAAACAGATAGTTTATTTACTACATTAACAATCTTTGTCATATACAAAAGCATATATATGATTTATAATCAGTCTTCGGTGAAATAGTTCTAAAGATCGAAATAGTTCTTTGGAAGTAGTTCGTTGATTATCCCTGATTCACTGACATATTACTTATTTTTAAATGCTGATCTGTGGCCAAATAAATGTAAAAAAAAAACATGGAGATATATGAGAGGGGAGGCGCAACAGCTGTGGCAAAAAAAGAAACCATCCAGTGAAAAGTACGTTTCTGTCATTTGTCATTTGTACATTTTTCCCAAAATTTGATGTTTTTCATCGACAATTTGTGTGTTTTCTATTTAAAAAAATCATTATAAACCACGATGTCGTATACGGTACGCAGTTGTGGGAGCAGGAGCAGAAATGGCATCGAATCAAAGAAAGTCCTCGGAGTAACATTTCACAGGTGACATAAACATTGGAAAGCTAATTAATTTTAATCATTGGGCGCGTTCAGGGACGGTCAGCGGCTGAGTGGCTGAGTAAGCGGTTTCCCTAAACGGTCTCTTTTTACACGCAAAAACAGTCAGCCGCTGTGTTCCCTGAACGCGCACATTGTTTGCTTTTATTATTTGAAGTTTTATCTAATCCGGTCCTGTCCAATTAGTACACTTTTGCCCGCCCCTAGGTCCTGATTTTATTCCACAAAAATATGTATCCCTGCGTCTCCCTTCTCTTATTCCTCCATGACAAGAGATAAACATGTTCAACCGCTGGTTCAACATGTTTTAGTGATGTTTTATTTAAGTTTTTAAAGATAAACAGCTGTAAGAAATTTACCTCTTCATATCTTCGTTGCTTACCATCCTTGGGTACTATCTATCTGATCAATTGTAAATTTCAATTCTGCTTTAGAAACTGCTGTTTTTATTGTTTTAATGGATAATAACTTTTATATATTTTTTGATTTTACGTTTAATAGCATAAAAGGTATGTAAATATACCACCTATCCTATAACATTATAAGTCAACAAAATAAGTGTTTTATTTGTATTAACTAGAACCTTTTTTTAAGCTGGACGAGTTATAATTAGGCTGTTTAACGATGTAGTGCCAAAATGTGCAGAGAATCTTCGTGCTCTGTGTACTGGAGAGAAAGGAATTGGACGTTTACAGAAACCCTTACATTATAAAAACTCAAGGATACATAAAGGTAATTTATTTTAATTAATTAAAACACATTGCATGTGTGAACATTATTTCATTAAAAACCAGCTACTTCAATTTGTTTTCTGCGATTCAGTTTAATCTTCTTCAGTAGATCTTTCCGTTTTAATTTTTTTATGCTAACAAGAGGCTTGTTTACAATTGTCTTAGGCTCTTTGGGTCCATCTAAGATCAATGGTTTTTCAAAAAGTTTGATTTCTTGTTTATGCTTTTTTTTAATTCTTTGTAATAATGTGGGCTTTTTGTTGATTTCTTCTGGAAAAGTATATTTTATATTTCTCCATTTCTAGTTATTGTCATTACCTAGAGAGCTTTCTTGATTTTTGTATTCAACATTATTAATCTCGCTCTCATTTAATTCTGTTTGCATATAGCTTTCATTATGTTGTTTATTAGCACTAATTGTTTTTTCAGGTGGATGGTGTGAGTGCCTTATCAATTCTTTATGAGCTTCTTTTCTCTCTTGTTTGTTTGATAATGTGTAGGGTGTTTTTTCTGATGTTTTATTCGTTTCTTTTTTTATATTTGAACTGTTTTTTAATGACACAACATGATGAATTTGATGATTATTAATGTTTTTTATTTTATCTGTGTCAGTTTTTGTTTTTTCCTGAACCTTTTTTTTTGTCTTATCATTTAACTTATGCGGGCAATCGCAACATGGTTCCGAAATATTTGAATAACAACAATGATCTTCAGAAGATGATTCAGATTGGTCATCATAACAGCAACAGTTTTGGTTTTTCTGATATTTACGTTTATAGAATTTCGATTTTTGTACCGATTGACAGCACTTTTTTTTACCTTCCTTGGATTTGCAACAGGAACATCTATTATTTAAATCTAAACAGCACTGGTTGTGTTTATTAACGCTTTTACATGAACACATATTCTGTTGATTAGAACAGCAGTAAGCTTGACAGCAGTCTTTTTTTCTTTGACGACGATCTTTTTTTAACTGACAAGGACAACATTGAGTAGGAGTACTTAAAAATTCTTCTGTTTCATCTGAGCAGCAGTACAGTTTTGTGGAATTGTTTTGATAGCCTCCTAGAGGTGGACACGTAATCCACTCTATCATCCTTTTACAATTATACTCTACTTGTGAGGGAGTATCATTAAATTCAACTTCCCAACCGCACGGATTGCATTTTGTATTTGGGCTGTCAACTAAATACGCTACGCCGAATTTTCCTTTAATATTTTCTTTTGCGCAACAGCATTTACATTGAGCTACTGGAAGTACGCGTTTATGAGAGTTATACTGATTTTCATCACATTCACAGAACATTTTAATTAATGAACTAAAATTTTGACTTTGCTCAAATTATTCATTTTTCAATTTGACATCGGCATCCAAAAATTTGACACTTCGATTCGTATTTTTTAATTTCAACAACGGATTAAGTACCATACCTATAGAATGTTCAACCATCGTTCAACGTCACGTCATTTATTGTCGAACTCTCTCATTCACTTGCCAACCAGATGAAAGAGATTGGTGACGTCATTACGGCAATAATTGTCATGGTCATTTGATTTGGTGTTATAATTTTATTGACGGACATCGATCAATACCAAAATTTCCTATTAGTAATTGTCATTGTCATTTGATTTGGGGTTATAATTTTATTGATAGACATCGATCAAGGTTATTAAATTAAATGGTTGCCTCGTAACTTGATTAACGTGTATTAAGTGCATTTGAGTGGATTATAGGACAGTTTTAGTGGATATACTATATTTTTTAAAGTTTTAGTGTACTTAACCGTAGAGTATGATAATTGTTGAACTGGATAGTTTTTTAAAATGATTTAACAAATTTTCCTTAGAAATGGAGATCATTCCTGTCTGCAGCAGCCTATTATAATGTTCAGTATTGTTTTTGCTTTGTTTAACATGGTAAAAAGTTAAAACTATTTTTTTTTCGACAATTATTGCTTAAAAATGTTAAATGTTAGCAAAATTAAAATTTTCTAAATATGAACTGATCTTAGACACACCCTAAAACTCATATTTGACAAATAATTATGACGTAACGATGAACGACGGCTGAACAGTCTTTACATTACTTCTGTATTTTTTTAGTTATTCCCCAGTGCATGATACAGGGTGGAGATATAATCAAAGGAGATGGGACTAGCGGTGAAAGTATTTATGGAGAATGTTTTGATGATGAAAATTTTTCCATTAAAGTAATTTTGACATAACTTTACGACCAAGAAGTTTTAAGATCAAAGTGCGCTTTGACTTCGACTGTTAATAGTATACAGGGTGGTCCGAACTGTATTCCGGAAACTTCGGCAGCATATTCTACATATAAAAATAAGTAAAAAAGTTTGTATAAATATATCTCCTAAATTGCTTAGTTTCTGAGATATAGGGTGTAGAATTTTCATTTTTATTTTGATTGTTTCCAAATAATTTCTGAAGTAACGTCAATATTTGCATGAAAATTGGTATCTGGGAATTTTTTGACATGAGGAATTTGATTTTGATGTCAATATGACTCCAATTTATAGGGGGCGCCACCTACTATGTGTTTTAGTTTTAACTGTTTTGAAGAGTAATAACTTTTCGTCCGTACCTGTATAAAAGTACCGAGTGAAAAAGTATACATTTCCGTGATTTTTTACGAAAAAAATGTCTCTGGGTAAATTCTGGTTCTGGAAAAAGCCGAACCGCTCCGTAATTATCAAAAGCTTTGGGTCGCGACCGTTGCAAGAACAGCGCCAAATAGTATTTACATTGTCCTTATGGGCACTTTCCAATCTAAATTTGTTTCCTTTATCTATTAGTCTAAGAGCTAGCAACGTTTTCGAGAAACTATTTTAAGACGTCTGGCTCTTTGATATACATATCTTTTACTATGCTCTCTGCATAGTAACAGCATGCAGCCCGTCTAGCTGCCGATACCCGTTGCGTTCACTACTGCGCATCGGAAGAAGGTCCTATATTTTTTATTAATGCAGTCCTATAAATTCTAGTATTGAATATAAATCGAACGTGTCTCCATAGCGCAGTGCGTAGAGTTTCCGACCACGAACCGATGATTCAGAGTTCGAATCCGGGTCAGGGCAAAGACTTTTTTATTTTATTTTCGTTTATATTCTGATAGTAAAGTATTAAATAAATCTGGTGATTAAAAAAAACAAATATTTAATACTTTACTATCAGAATATAAACGAAAATAAAATAAAAAAGTCTTTGTCCTGATGCGGATTTGAACTCTGAATCATCGGTTCGCGGTCGCAAACTCTACGCACTGCGCTATGTAGACATGTTCGATTTATATTCAATACTAAAATTTAAAGGACTAATAAAAATATAGGATCTTCTTTCAATGCGCAGTAGGGAACGCAACGTTTACCGGCAGCCAGACGGGCTGCATGCTGTTCTAGAGAGCATAGTAAAAGATATATCAAAGAGCCAGACGTCTTAAAATTAGTAGTGGGAACTATCGAATGAATACTATCGAAACATTCGATAGTTGCAATTCATTCGAATAATTCGATAGTTAGTAAAAAACATTCGTTGAAACCTATTCGAATAAAAATTATCGAATAGATGCGTCATCTGCCTTGAAATATTGTATTCTAGTAATTCGGCAGCAAAAACCATTCATTTATAAAATTCATTCATTTATGAAATTCATTTATTCGTCAGGATCGATTATAATAAAATATTAACTGAATTTTAGTTGTCGCCCGGCGACGTAGGTTTCTTTCCGAGAAACCCGACAGCGAGCGGTCGGTGGCAATGCTATGAAAGAAGCCGGCATCTTTGATTTTTGCGGAGTCAGATATAGATAAGGACACATTATTTTTTTTTATTGAGGTACTAGTATTTACACAGAAAATACATTATGAAGGGCGCTGTTGCCATATTTTGGTATTAGTTGATATTAGCAAAGAATATTATTGTTTAGCTTTAGTTAGTTAGGGATAGTATGTCTATATATTCTGCATTTTTTTATTAATATTCTGTTGTTACACTGCAATAATACTTGTTATTTTGGATGTAAGAAAATGATTTTTAATGTTTTTAAGCAAAGACTGGTTTAATAAATAATAATAACAATAATAATTTGTTATACCTATTAACAATAAAATTTAAAATGATTTAATATAAATATTTTTTTAAGTAGTAGCAAAATATAAACAACAAATTAGATGTCAAAATTATTTATATTAGATCCTATTTAAAAGTAATATAGTCTCTAAATTTTTTGGCAACGTTGGTTTATTAAATAATAATAATTATAGAACTAATTTGTTATATTAACAACAAATTTTAAAATCATGAAATATAAACATTTATTAATTTTCTAAGCATGCAGTGTAATGGAACGAAAATATAAATAAAAAATTAGAAATCAAAATTATTTATATTAGGTGCTTTATATTACTATTTAAAAATTATATTTACTTTTACTGGCATTTACTTTAAAAAATAAATGAAATATTTCTTTGCAAAAAACTACATGTAAGAGAATTAGCATAAACAAAATACAAACATCGTTAACTTTTTTTTTAAATTGGCACGTGTAAAACTTTCATTTTAATTTTCTCACCCCATAGTTTGAGTTCGATAACCATTTACTTAACCAGATTACTTAAATATGATTATTAAGTTCAACTAATTCATATTATTAAAACATCTAAAATACAAATATGTATTTTTAAAATTAATTGTAAGTTCATCTCATCTCTCTTAAAAATTGCTACTTCTCAAAATTTCCCATTAAAAAATAGACCATATACCATATAAAATTAAATAATTGAAAGATCGGACTACGGAAAACCACACAAATTTTCGGAAAAATTTTGACCACCTGCACATGCATATAATCGTCAATAAATAAAATTAAAAAATAACTACTATTTTAGTATTTTAACTATTTTAATAAACGCAAAAATAGCACAGTATTTATACGGCGAAGTTATAAAAATTTGGAAGAACTAATAATGCACCGACGCATACAAAAATCAAACGAATACTAAATTTCATTTATCAAAAGCATTCGATAGTCGTGGCTCAACGATAACCATTTAGTCGCACGGCGAGGTTGTCACATATGCTTTAGTATACAAATGAATGAATGATTTTATTCGAATAAAACCATTCGATAGTTGAAATCATTCATTCATTAACCATTCGATAGTCTAATTTATTCGATAGTTCCCATCGCTACTTAAAATACTTGTTTTTCCGACGTTGCTAGCTCTCGTACTATATGAACAGACGTGGAACAGACTTTATCTGTCATACAATACTTTGATCATAAAATTTTTAATCGCTTTGTAGTACTTCCACCGGAGGACGCATCGTCGTTGGAAACGTAGAAAATCGCATGCAAATTTCGAACTGTTGGGTTATTGGCTCGCCTGTTTTTGGTACCAATATTTGAACAGTTTAAAGGCGGTCTCTCACGACTGGTCTGCTTGACAAGTACGCCAATATTTGCGTAGTTGGTAAGTATCCCCACCTGTCCCCACTTTGTAAACATCGGCAAGTGTAGCGCTCACACGACGTGTCCATTTCAACAAGTCTTCTTCTTAAGTTGCCGACTTCTTGCGAAGGTTGGCGACCATCATGACTAATTTTATTTTGTTGACTGCTGCCCTGAACAGGTCGTTTGATGTACAGTTGAACCATTCTCTGAGATTTCAAAGCCACGACATTCGTCTTCTTCCTATGCTTCTCTTCCATATTATTTTACCCTGGATAATTAGTTGTAGCAGCTTGTATCTTGTACCTCTCATTACGTGGCCCATATATTGGAGTTTTCTGATCTTCACCTCATTCTAGATCTTTTGAGACTCTTCGTAAGACTTCTTCATTGGTAATTCTGTCAACGTATGATATCCGGAGTACCCTTCTGTAAAGCCACATCTCGAAGGCATCTATCTTTTTAAGCATTTGTTTTGTTAGAGTGGCAGCTTCTATACCATAGAGCATTATTGTAAATATGTAGCATCTTAGCATTCGTATTTTAAGGTGGTTACTTAAAGTTTTGCAACAAAAGAATTTCTTCATTTTAATAAAGGTGTTACGTGCTATTTCAATTCTCGTTTTTAATTCTGATGAGTAATCATTGTCGTCGTTGATCAGGGTTCCTAGATATTTATATTTATAGACTTGCTCTATTATCTGATGGTTTACGATCAGTTGAGTATTTTGATTTGGTGTTTTGGTAAATATCATGAATTTTGTTTTATTAAGGTTCATATTCAAGCCATAATGGATACTTGTTTCATACACTTTTTGGACCATTCGTTGCAGGTCCTGTATACTTTCTGCTAGTAGTACGGTATCATCTGCGTATCGTATATTGTTTATAGGAACTCCGTTTACTACTACTCCAGCTGCTTCATTGTGTAATGCCTCCCTCATGATGACTTCCGAGTACATATTAAACAATAGCGGGGAAAGTATACATCCCTGTCACACCACGTTTGATGTTGCTGTTTTCCGTGTATTTATTGTCTATCTTGATGTTTGCTGTTTGGTCGTAATATAGGTTTTCAATAATTCTGGCATCTGTGTATCTATTTGCTTTTCTCTCAGAATTTTGATAAGTTGTTCATGACGGACTCTGTTAAATGCTTTCTCATAGTCCACAAAGCAGGCGTACACATCCTTGTTAACATCCAAACAGCGCTGAGTCAACACGTTTATACTAAATAATGCTTCTCTCGTGCCAACTCCATTGCGGAACCCGAACAGTGTATCGCTGATGTCGTTATCCAGTTTTTTATACACACGGTTGTGAATTATTTTTAAAAATAACACAGGCCGACTTTTTTTTTGTCGGCCTGTGTAATTTGAGTGTATGGCTCATTAGGCTTATGGTCCTATGATCTTTACATAATCTTGCGTTGGCTTTCTTAGGAATCACAATGAAGGTCGACACCAACCAGTCTTTTGGTATCGTTCCTGATCTGTAGATCGCATTGAAGAGCTCAGCAAGTTCATCCAAGCTATGTTCCTTAAGCATTTTTATCATTTCAATGGGTAGTTCGTCTGGGCCAGGTGCTTTCCCGTTTTCATCAATTCTATGGCGTCAGCGATGCCTATGGGTGATTTCGATGAAATTCTATTTCATCTGTTGTTATTTCTGGTCCGGTTACTATATCATTTTCTGGGGGTAAAAGGTCTATTTCTGTCATTTTCGAACAGCGTTTCGATATATGTTTTCCATGTCTTAAGCTTTGATGTCAGCTCCATTACTATATTCCCATCATCATCCACCAGTATATTTGCTTTCCTCTTTTTATAATTTCCAGTGATCTCCTTAACCTTTTTATGTATATTAGTCATGTACTTTTTGCAGTTGTTCAATTTCGGCACATTTTTCATTCAGCCGGTGTTCTTTCGTCTCTTTTACTTTCTTTTGTATTTCTCGATGTATATTGTTGTATCTGTTGTTTTCAGTGGTTTTAGCCTCTCTTCTTAATCTCATTAATTCGATAATTTCATCGGTCATCCATTCGTTTTTCTTTTTCTCATTCTTACAGCCCGACTCTTTGTTTCCTATTTCAAGAATTGTGTCTTTAATTTTCTCCCATTCGATGTTTATGTCTCCCTTATGTTTGCAACTCTTCTGTAAGTCGTTTTTCAACCCTTGATCTAGTTTCGCTGTTTCTTAATCTTGTGACGTCCATTTTGGTACTCTTCTTGGACTGTTTGATACGTTTTAAAGTTAGTTTGAATGTTGCAACTACAGGGTTATGATCTGATGCGATGTCTGCCCCTGGGTAAGGTCTTGGCTGAGAGTATGCTATTTCTGTATCGTTTATTAATCATGACATAGTGGATCTGGTTTCTTACTATTTTATATTTTGTGTCCTGTGGTGATCTCCACGTGTATAATCTTCTTGGTGGTAGTTTAAATAAGGTGTTTGTCACTACTATATCTTTCTCTTGGACAAATTCAACCAGCCTCTCTCCTCTCTCGTTACGCTGTCCTAGTCCGTGCTCTCCAGTGACATCCACAACTCTTCCTCTACCGATTTTGGCATTGAAATCTCCCATTACAATTGTCACTTCGTGTTTCTTAATGTTCTTCCATAATTGTTCTATTTGTCCGTAAAATTCATCAATTTCTCTGTCTTCACTTTGTGCCATTGGGGCATACACTTGAATGATATTTGTTCGTATTTTTGATATTTCTAACTGTATCATCATTACTCTCTCTGAGAGGGGTACAAAACATGTAACGGATTTATTTGTTTCTTCGTCTACAAAAATTCCAACACCGTTTGGATGCTTTTGTTGATCGTCACTACCAGAGTAGTAAAATGTTCCTCCATCAGTTATGCATTTGCCACTACCGGGCCATCGGACTTCACTAATTCCAAAGATATTAACTTTCAGTCTCTTCATTTCTAATGTTAAGTTGTACAGTTTGCACCCTTTGTCCATTGAAGGACTGCCGGGGACTAAGGGCCATTGTTTTAAGTGTATCTGTCATGATGATTATACTAGGGAAATATAATGAGATTGTTTCCCCTTGCCTTCCTCATCGCTGTTCAAACGCCTTTCTGTGGTTACCACTCTGCCGTTTGATGTCTGATTCCCAACCGATGTAGTTTTTCTTCACTCCTCGCTTGGGGTCAGATCTTAGCAGCCAGCTGCCGCTGCTCAGTGCTACAGTGCTGCATTTCAACAAGTACGCCAGCACAAACATTGTTTAAATCCTTGGCAAGTAAACAGTATAGTCACATCGATGGATACCGGTCGTCCCGAAATTGTCGTTGCTAGTGATTCTTTTTAAGTTCTTTTACGGTACACTGCAATACGATTTCTATGTTCTTTATGTTTGGCCATCCATGTGAAGGGATCATTTTCGTATAAATCTATAAATTCCAAAACAACATTTGAAGACTACACTGGAAAATCCAGTTTTATCTATTTTAATAGGAGCCGAGAAAAATGCAATTTAGTATTTTTAAAGAAATATGCTATTTTCGGTTGAATAATTAGAAAATATATATTACTACCAATTCTGAATTATTAATATTGTGAATTATCGCCATATTCTGAAATACCGAAATAAAAATGTCAAAATGCAAAACAGGGGAAAACCAGGGATGTTCAATTAAAGGTTGTATAAAATCTAAATTTAAACTATTATTTTTTTGATGTAGGGAGAACATTAATATTTAAGTAGGTTTTTATTACAATACATAAATTTATAACATATAATACTAATTGCAAGATGCATGCTTGTCGACCATGCGTCAGTACATCTCTGGTTTTTGCCATTTACGCGTGGACTACTCTGGTTTTTCCTTGGTACAGCAAAATAACCAAGCTGTAATATTTCTGGGACTAAGCGTATTAATGCTTTCTTTTTCCTCAAATGACGTTAACATTTATCCATAAAGTTGTATCGCTCAACGTCGCTATCTTAATTTCTATGAAAATGTGACAGATCTGGTTTTTCCCGTGTATTCTTCATTTGTCCACTCCATTTATTGCTGTGCGAACGATTTAGATGCCGCCAATATTGAAGTTATTAATGTAAATTTGATATTACATAATATATTATTATTTTAACGTTTTAAATTAACCGCAATTAACTCGTAAAATACTACGATCCGGAAATAAATCGGACATACGCTATAACAGTAGAATTATTTGCGCAGTCGTTTTTTTGTTAAGTGTAAACAAGGCTAGCCAAGGTCACTTGGCAAGTGTACAATTAGTCGTTTGACTTGGGCTATGTTTACCGACAGAGAGTGGGGACGCGACCAGTGACCAAGGAAACCGTTTTCACGACCGTTCTCACGACATGGCAAGTATATTCCAATAACAAATGTTTGTCAAGTACACCAGTCGTGAGAATGCGTCTTAAAATTTGCATGGAATTTTCTGTTTCCAACGACAATGTACCACCCTGTAGTAGGTATGTAGTTTTAAGTAACATATTTAATTTTCAGCACGATAAACCAGGCTTAGTAGGATTAATTAGAAATGGTAGTAACAAGAATTCTTCACAATTTTACATTACCACAGTACCTTGTTATCATTTAGATAATAGCAATGTTGTAGTTGGCGAAGTTATTAAGGGATTAGATATTATTATTGAAATGTCTGAAATTCCCAAATGTAATGATCTACCCCTACAGGTAAGTTCTTTTATGTTTTGGTTCTGAGCTTAAAGCACAATGAGAGAATCTAGGTATATAAAAATTAACAAAATACATTATAGGAAATTTTGATTGCCGATTGTGGACAACTAGAACCGACTGTTTCTTGGAATGTAAACGAAAACGATGGTACACTTGATGTTTACCCTCCATGGCCTAATGATTTAGATCATACTTTTGATGAAAACCAGTTTGAAACTGTTGTTACAAACATTAACGTTTCTGGAAATATGTATTTTAAAAAACAGAGTTATTTAGATGCTGAAAGAAAATACAAGAAAGCCATCAGGTAAATGTTAAAGGTTGTTTTATGTGTAACCTTATATTTCATCCCCTTCCAGATATATAGATTGGTATTTTCGTAAGAACACACAATCTCCAAAAGAATTAGCTGAATTTAAAAACAAGGTATTACTGAATCTGACTGCTGTACGACTGAATATTAATAAAAATAAGGAAGCTCTAGAAAACTGTAATGAAGTAAGTATTAATAAAAAAAACTGTGTGTACTCTATGTACCCATATTTCAAGTGAAACTTCTTACTAATGGCTATGAAATTGAAGCATTTCAAGGATATGTTTGAAAGTGTAGTTTGAAATGTTGAAAAAGTAGGTAATAATTTAAAAAAATATTTTTTACGCTTAAAAAAATATTTTTCTTACGTGTAACAAATAGTTTTTTACACGTAAAAAACCTATTTTATTAATAATTACACCTTTTCACTTCAAAAATAAAATATTTGTTTTCTAAATTAAATATACTTATTTTAGGTCCTAAAAGATAATCCAAATAGTGGAAAAGCATATTACAGAAGAGCCAGAGCTAAAATGGGCCTCAAAGAATATGATGATGCTTTAAGCGACCTGAATAAAGCCTACAACCTACACCCAACAGATAGGAATATAAAACATTTGTTTGATATTATTAAAACCAAAAAACGATTGTATACTGAAAAAGAGAGAAAATTCTGTTTAAAAGCTTTTTCTTATTAAGTTTGATAATATATGTATAGTAATGTGCTGTAAAGAGAATATCTGGTATAAATAAATATTTTAAAAATATGAATGAACAAAAAATACTACGTCAAATTACCCTGGCAATAAAGACTGATATTGATAACATTACAAAAACACTATCGATCGTCATTTTCAACACCATCCTTTGTGATGGGGTTATTTTCTATGGTGATGGTTGAAAATGAAAATCGCTGTCATTTTCTACGCAAAATTATTATTTTTGAAACAATGGCAAAGAGTAGATAAGACTTTAATCTTATCTACTACATTACCATATTACCATTGTCAAAGAGTAGATAAGACTAAAGTCTTATCTACTCTTTGACAATGGTAATATGGTAATGTCCAAGATCGTCATTTATAAGCTAACTGGACGTCCCTTTTTCGATCATACAGTACTTTTGTCTTTTTTTATCGAGTGTCGAGTTTTTTTTGTTGAGGAACCTCTACTACACTTTGTAATCTATGCATAATGACGGAAGTATACCCATAGACAAACAGAAAAATTAAAAGACTGCCAGAAGACATACGACGCGCAGGCAAATGTACCTGTAGCGCATCGACGCCAGTGCCGAAATACGTCCATCTAGCTATCTGTGTTTCGACACTAGTCCGTTAGTCTTAGCATATTCAGAAAGAACACGCTAACCTCCAGCGCTGCCAATTTGTGATAAATTCCCCAAATTTTGGGGAATCCGGAGCCGATTGGGAGTTTTGTGGGGATTTTAGCAATAGGGGGCGAAAATAAGGGGAGTTTCAACATTGCTGATTGAAAATTGCGTAAAATTTTTAGCTTTAAAAACGGAGCGGGACGATATATCTTTCCCAACTTAAAAATTATAATCTGCTTTTTACTTGTGCTTCCCTTTGCAAATGCTTCAGTTGAAAGAAAATTTAGTGACCTCAAATTATTTAATGACTACTAGGGAAGGGATTAAAAACAAGGACGTAATTTACAGTTTAATCTCTCTAACATATATAATAAATATTGTATTTTTATTAAAATTATTTTTTTTGTCAAAATAATCATATGGGGAATTTTTGGTGAATCAGGACATTTTTCCCCCAAATTGGCGAATTTAATTTAGATTTTTGGGTAGTTTAGAAAATTGACATTGGCAACGCCGCTAACCTCATTCTTTTGTTGTTTGTTCACAAAGCGGCACGCGGCGTAGTACAAGGCTTGATCATTTTTAAGAAATTTTTTGATTGTTAATTTTATTTTGTGCAAACTAAACAGTTGTTTTTTATTAAAAAATAGCAGACAAAGGTAAGAAAGGTAATGTCCATGCAGAAGTTTTTATTTCACAGGCTATTCTTTCTAGAAATTATACCATCCAGCCCTCCTATTTAATTATTAAATAAAAGTGTGAAAGAGATATCAAGGGCTATTCTGTTAAAATGTCATCCGACCAGTCTAGGCCCTGTTGTGAACCAGAAGGTGTGCTAAGTTGGATGTTGGATATAGAATGGAAGGAATATCATGGCCGAGAACAAGGCATAATTGTATGTCCCTTGATGTAGGGGGGTAGGTTTGTTTCGAATAGGCAGTAAAACCAAAAATTCTACTGTGAATCTTCATATTCTAGGCCTGTAAAGGTAAATAATTCCTGGAGCCATCTCGAGGTATAGTACTCAAGTCGGAGCGAATCAATTGATAGCACGATGAAAAGAAATAATAGCCAGCATAAAACTGTAAATATGTATATAACTAGTACTATGTAGCTATTTAACTGTAAGTACAATGTAGCTAGATATTTAGTAGAATAGGGGTATTATAAATTAATACAAAATACAATAATTGGTCATTCTTTCCATTCCCATTCAATTCTTCCCATTTAATCGTTTTCCCATAAAAAAAAGAAAATTAAAATTAAGAGTGCCCTTAACCAAAAATAGTGAAATAAATGGAGATAGTCAAATTTTATATTAGCGTGTAAGACTTTGAATAAAAATGCTGTATTTATATCCTTTAGTATCATGATAATATAAAATTTGAGTAGGTATCTCCATTTATATCACTGTTTTTGGTTAAGGGCACTCTTAGTTTTAATTGCCTTAAAAATAATAAGTATAATAATAATTTAAATCTCCCGCTCTTTCATAGTTCGTACCTGTAGCCAAGTAGAGGGCGCTAAAAGCGCAATCTCCCAACATTTTACCACGCGATTCACCACTCTCTAAACTATTAACTTTCTCTATGAGTATACCTATATATGATCGGGATCATATACTAATAAAAAACAGGAAAATTGTTCAATACTATTGAACATCTCTAATTTCCATTTGACAACTGTTGACATTGATTTGACAGCAGAATTAACCTTCTGCATTGATTTGATTTTGATATGAATATTTTTGTAAACAATTAGATTATATCAAAAAAAGTAGTCTGAAAAGTAGTTTAAAATGTACCAGAACGCGTGTGGGGCGGCTGCGGCTAGCGCGGGCGGCTGTGTAGAGACCGAAAAAGAATATCAAAATTTAATATCTAAAGAGCCCCATGTTCCAGCAATTGAACACGATTATAGCGGATTTGATATTGTCAAAGCGACTCAGGTAAGTAAACTCGTTATTTCTTTTTAGACAGAGGATTTATTTTGTTAAAGAATACATCTAATCTCTACTAAAATTTCTAGTATGGAGCATTTGGTAGAGTAAAGGAACTCGTAGATGCAGGGTATGATGTGAATCTAAAAGATAGTGAAACTGTAACATTATTACACTGGGCTGCTATTAATAATCGTAAAGAGATTATGAAATTTCTTATAGGTAGATAAAACTTTATACTTTGCATGGTGAACATTTTTAAAATTACACATACATATATTTTTAGACAAAGGTGCTACAGTAGATGCAATTGGAGGAGAACTACATGCTACTCCATTACATTGGGCAACTAGACAAGGACATTTAGAGGCTTGTGTTATATTAATGAGTGTAGGTGCAGACCCAACCCTAAGAGATGCTGAAGGGTGTTCCTGCATTCATTTGGCTGCTCAATTTGGGCATACCGCTTTAGTATGAAATTAACCTTATATAATACAATAGTTATAAAAATAGATTAAAATATATAGGTGGCATATTTTGTGGCAAGAGGTGTTAGTCCAGACCTTACAGACAGAACCGGGATGACACCCTTAATGTGGGCAGTATGGAAAGTTTCCAATCTTGACCCTACACGTTTGTTGCTCACGTTAGGAGCTAACCCTAATTTAGCTGACCTCACTCAAGGAAATACTGCACTACACTGGGCTATTTTATCTAGGAATACCACTGCAATATCTACACTTATATTACAAGTAATGTACATATATTTGCTAACAATGTACTATAATTAAGAAATCAATTATTTTTTAGGGGCATGCTAATTTAAATATTCCTAACAATAAAGGGGAGTCGCCGTTACAAATGATACAGTCTCAAGTGGGATCTATTTGGATAAGCCCTAAGGTTTTAGATCTTATTAAAGAACATTCCCATCACACCTCCAAAAATTTTGTTACTAGTTGTGCTAGAGATAAAGTAACTTTTGGGTAAAAAATATTAAGCATTTTGAGTGAACATTTTGTTTTAGAGGATCAGATGGTGGGGAATGGTGGGCACTCCGTTTATGGCATTTTACATTGCTGGAGCAATAATGGGCACAAATTTGCTTTTAATTATAAAAATATTTCTTTTAGTCTGTTTATATATAGTTATACACTATTTAGGTATATTTTTATTATTAAATATCGTTTTTTTTTTATACAGTTGACTAAAAGAACATTTTTTAGGTCAAATATTTTACGATGATCGTCTTATGGCACTGTTGCCTTTAAGCATATATTTATCAACGAAAATGTGGTTTTATTTTACGTGGTTTATTTATATTACGCCAGTAACCAATATGCTTACAACGATAGTATTTGTTTCTAGTTCCGTTCTACTTTGGTATAATTTTCTGAAAAGTTGGTTAGGAGATGCTGGAGTTGTACCAACCAACAAAAAATTGCAGTTTCAAGTAAACAGTTCTCTATCAGATGTTTTATGCCAATTTTAAAGTTTTATTTTTAGACTATTTTGGAATTATCTGAAAAAGGTCATGGAGGTTTTGAGCCGTCGACTTTCTGCTCTACGTGTTTGGTAAGAAGGCCTGTGAGATCGAAACATTGCGCCGTGTGCAATCACTGCATTGCAAAATTTGATCATCATTGTCCTTGGGTTGCTAACTGCATAGGTTAATATAAAAGATTCTGGCTTGGAGATTGAAGAAAAAAATATATTATTTTTTTAGGTGCAAAAAATCACAAATATTTCATTGGTTTCTTGGCTTGTTTGGTAATAATGTGTGCCGAGATGCTTTATGGATCTATTAAATATTGGCAGAATGATCCTATGTGTAACGCCTTGAAACATGACAAGGAAAAAGGTTTTTGGAACACCATTGTCGCCCTGGGACAATGCGACACTTGGGTTGCTTGGGTTTCAGTAAATGCAGTTTTCCATGGTATATGGGTGTGTGTTCTACTCATTTGCCAACTTTATCAGGTAGATAACTTTAAATAATTATTAAAAATTAAATCTTATTAAAATTTGTTAAATCAAAAATATACAGGGTTCGGCGATAGTGCGTCGAGCATCTGTAGCTCCTAGATTAAAAAAGTTTGGAATTTTGTTTAAGTGCAAGCTTAAAATATGTACTAGGATGTATTTGAGGAAAATATTTCGACTTCTACAGAGTGGCTCAAAAAAGTGTGAGTGCATCTCGTATATTATTGTATTTTTGCAGATCACTTTACATAATCCTAAGATATGAGTAAATATGTTTCGATAGTTTTAGAGATATTAATAAATAAATAAAAAATATATATTTTTCAGACTTTTTTTTAAATATTAAAAATTCAAGAACAGTCCTGAAATCAAAACTATATTAGGTATTTACTGTAGATAGTCTGTACTTACTTTGCTGTAAATATCGTAATCTTAACTCATACAGGATGTTCAAAAATTTACGCCAAACTTTCTAAAATACAACAAAATTTTTCTTTGTTTTTTTTTAAATGGAACACCTAGTATAATATTTTTTTTTAATAGCTGGAGAATTAAAAAATGAACAGTTTTTATATTTAGATATTTCAAAGTTTTTAACGGTTTCGTAGACATTCATGGTTTTATATTTTATATGGCATTTTTCACAGTAAATTTTTAAAAAATGTCTATACCTATGTGGCGGATCCATCTTTCCAAAAAAAAATCCTTTATGGGTATTTCGCCACTGCACTGCAAGAAAATCTACGAATTAAAATAATTATTTTTTGCTAACACTTCTGAATTCAATGACATTTTTTAAAAAAATGTCATTTTAACAGAACGTCAACGGTTTCTTGTAGACATAAGTATTCTCGAATAGTTGAATTTAAATATTTTAAATAGTTTTTTTCTTTATTCTTTGTATTTTTTTGCTTCCGACGACGGAAAGAGATAACTGTCCGAAACGTTAAGTATTTTTTTTTCTTTGTTAGGCAAATTTGTATTACTGTAAACATAACTTCTGACAAGCAGCGTCCGTTTAGGTTTAATGCAGAAGTGTTTACAAAAAATAATTATTTTATTTTGTAGATTTTCTTGCAGTGCAGTGGCGAAATACCCATAAAGGATTTTTTTTTGGAAAAAGTAAATTTTTATCAAAGCCAGGTAAAAATATTTTTCTCTTGTATTTTATTTTTGTTATTTCAAAATTTAAAAATTTTGAAATATTCTAAATACAAAAAGTGTTCAGTTTTTATTTTTCCATCTAATAAAAAAATAATATACAGGGTGTTCCATTTAAAAAAACTGTGTGGGGAAGAAAAAATATTTTATATTTTAGAAAGTTTGGCGTAGAATCTTGAATATCATACAGGGTATTCAAAATTCTGATTGAAGATTACGATATTTATAGCACAGTAAGTATAGACCATCTAAAATAAATACCTAAGATAGTTTTAATGTAAGGCCAGTTTTTGGATTTTTAATAATTTTTTTAAGAAATTCTGAAAAATATATATTTTTTATTTATTAATTAATATCTCTGAAATTATCGGAATATATTTATTCATATCTTCAGAGTATGTAAAGTGATCTGAAAGGAAGCCAAAAATGCAATAATATCAAATAATATACAGGGTGTTCCATTTTAAAAAAATCATCCCGATCCACCCGCACTTTTTTGACCCACACTGTATAATATGTTAAAATATTTTCCTGAAAAACATTCCTTTACGTACTTTAGGTTTGTACTTAATACTTACAGATGCCCGACGCACTATTGCCGGACCCTGTACAATCACATCAACTTGGCCGTTCAACTGGCTGATGTTAATAAAATCTAATCTTGTTAAAATACAGATTGTTTTTCTGGGAATGACAACGAACGAACGCATGAATAAGAGTCGATATGGCCATTTCTTGGCGAACCATGGTAAGAGTCCCTTCTCCAAAGGAGCCCTACGCAACGCTTTGGAGTTCTTCGAGTGTAATTGTTTTAACTGTATCAAGATCGATAAAAATGACTGGCTCAACAGTTACAATTTCGATAAGAACATCGAACGAGAACCGCTACTATGTAGCAAAGAGAATTTTCAGTACGTATGAGGAAAGGTTTATGTTCCTAGGAGAAGGTTAAGTTTTTGATTGTCTGCATACAGGGTCGTGATGTCGTGAACATAATGAACGAGGTAATATACACACAAGTGATAGGTATACATTGTATGTCACTCTGGGAACTACTTCAATATTGTACAGGATGGTCCCAACTGTATTCTGGAAACTTTGGCAGCATATTCTGCAGAATAAAATAAATAAAGAAGCTCGGATAAATGTATGTCCTAAAATGCTTAGTTTCGGAGATACAGGGTGTAGAAGTTTCATTTTTATTTCGATTTTTTCCAAATAATTTATGAAGTAACCTCAATATTTTGTTGAAAATTGGTGTCTGGGACTTTTTTGACTTGATAAATTTTATTTTGATGTCAATATGACCTCTATTTATAGAGGTCGTCAACTACATTTGTTTTAACTGTTTTGAAGAGTAATAACTTTTCTCTCGTCCGTACCTGTATAAAACTACTGAGTGAAAAAATATACATTTTCGTAATTTTTATTTAAAAAATGTCTCTTGTTAACATGGGCGCCGGAAGAATGAAATTTAGGGGGGGGGCAAGGTAAAAATGAATAAAAAATTGAAACACATTTTTTATTATTTTACAGGTAACACCTAAAAATTTCATAATAATGATTATTTTTTTACAGATGGATGTAGAAGATAGCTTTTATTTTTACTGTTTCAGTGATCCAGGGGGGGGGGGCAAATGCCCCCCCTATCCGGCACCCATGCTTGGTAAAAATCGCTACGAGGAACCGTTATCAAGATAACTAGAAATGAAATAGTCAATACATATGATTATTGGCAAAAAAATAATGTTGGGTAGATAGTTATCTGATCTGACTGAAATGATAAATTTGGGAACTTTTTATTTTTTTTAAATTAATCAATTTTTTTTTGATAAAATGATGATAAAAAAGTTTTTGTTGAACTTTTGGCACAAAAATATGTCAAATATATGGTTTCATTCTAATAACTATTTAATCATGTTTAATTTATGTCAATGACAACAGGTATTGATTTCCTACTATTTTAATGTATTAATAATTATTAACTGTATTTTACTTTACTTTTTTGGAAATAAAGGCATTATTATTATTGATAATTTCGATTCCAAATATTTCGAGAACTATTACTCGTAGCGATTTTTACCAAGAGACATTTTTTACGTAAAAAATCACGGAAATGAATATTTTTTCACACAGTAGATTTATACAGGTACGGACAAAAAAATATTACTGTTCAGAACACTTCAAACATATAGATGGCGTCCGCTACAAATAGAAGTCATTTTGACATCAAAATCAAATCTCTCATATTAAAAAACTCCCAGACACCAATATTCATCCAAATATTTACGTTACTTCAGAAATTATCTGTAAAAAATCGAAATAAAAATGAAACTTCTACACCCTGTCTCTCCGAAACTAAGCTTTTTAGGACATACATTTATAGGAACTTTTTTATTTATTTTTATCTGCAGAAAATGCTGCCGAAGTTTCCGTAATACAGTTCGTACCACCCTGTATATAACAAGAAAATATATTAGAAGCACAATACATTATTATTAATATATGTATATGTAATATGCAATAATATAGAGTATGTTCCATGGTGAATTAACCAGCTTGACATATACAAATTCCCAGATAAGCGCGATTTAATTTATAATTAGATAAAAAAAACCTTTTGGAGCTCTCTAAACAGCTACATATTGTATAATATTTAAGCTTTTTTTTAATAATAATAATTTTTCATTTCATATTTTTTTTTGGATATTTTGATAATATAAATATTTTTTTGTCTTCCGCCATAGGATTAATGCATACTTTTTGTGAAAATTGTGGATATGAAAGTAAACACCAAAGATATAAGGAACACTAGTATTTAAAGTCAATTTTAGCTATCACAACAACATAATATCAAACTTATATTGTTTCTGCTAACTTTTGTAGGTAAATTTTTTTTTAATTAATTCTGAAGTAAAAAATCGTAATAAATAAATATTTCAGAATTACTAATTATTTAAAAGGGAATGAATAATGCATTCTAATTTTCATTAAGGCACCGTCAAAACATTCCACTTGATGTTGTAGAGATAAGTAAAAAAGAATTATTGTTTTAGATGTAAGTATATTGTTTAAGCGTATTCGCCTGTCCATGGTACAAAGAATACAAGGTATGATATTGCGCAGGTTGGTCGCTACGTCACGGGTGATAAAAGGCGCTATTGGTCAGCACGCTCCGCGCGCCAGTTCAAATCATCAAGATATTGTTATAAACCTGTTTTTTTTTGTTTATATACCGTCATTGAATTATCGCTAAGCAAGTTACTGTGGAGCAGTGCATAAGGAGTAGGGCTAGGAAGCGAGAGACCGGAGTTCGAATCTCGGCCGGAACATCACTTTTTATTTATTTTTTTAAATACTGTTGTATTCTATAGTTTATTTTTGTAGTATAAAAAAAAGATCTATTTATTCTGTTATTTTTTAATCTCCGTTATTAATATAAATTGATTGTTAGTACAATACCTCATTTAATATAAAATAATATTCTACTTTTTGAAATGTATCGGGCCCTAATTGTACCTAAAAGTAATATATTTTTAGTGATATACCATATTGTAAACTATTTAATATTTCAGTCACTTAAAAAGTTAATTTGCATTGAATAATTGCCTACCATTAAAGGAAATTTGAGCTATATAATCCTTGATGGGCATATTCTGGGTATGCAAATACTTCCTTTAAATTTTGGGTGTCGTTCAACCGATTTATTCTCAAAACCAGAAACATCTACATATAAAAAGAAGCACAGGTCACTAATTATAATAAACTTCACCCTTGGTATTACTTCCACTAATTATAATAAACTTCACCCTTAGAATTACTTCTATCACAATTACAATACGTTCATCTGCATTGGCATTTTCTACTTTTCGATGGGAAACAATAAATTTCCCAACATTTTTTAAATGATGTAACAATTCCTCTTGTGGTTACTTTTCCATAGATATGCTCAACTCTGTCCTCATGTGAATTCAGAGGCAATGAAAATGAAAATTATTTACCATAAACATCGCAAACTAAAAACCTAATAAACAATTTTATACTGAATATAGAAATAAATTTAGTATTTTTACCTATTATCGTCCAAATCCATGTTAATAGATAATTATTATTTTTAAATATATTTTTGGAACTGCTGGTTTTAGTAATTATTAAATTAAACGAACTAAAAAGTCTTAAAAATAAACAATGCTTAACCATAACCTCAAAAATGCAGATCTCCTGTCAACTTTCTTTATTTTTTATTTATTCATTATTTTCCTAGTGACGTCACAGGTGGTATGCGCGAACTGAACGAAATTGGAGCCGCTATCGATCATACCTTGTATTCTTTGTACCATGCGCCTGTCATGCTGTAATTGTCCCGTATATTAGCAAAATAATAGACTAGTGATATAGTATATATCCTGATATTTGACAAACTTACCGTGTTGTAGATTATTATGTCAGTATACTTACACTGTGTATAATATACAGAACGTCCCAGTATTATTTTATATTTATTATACATATAGAACTACTACGTAATTTTGGATTCAATTATTCAGTTAAATTGGACACAATTTACACCTCTACGAAAGTGCTTTGTTTATCGTTAAAAAAAACATCACTCTGTATACTGGGTGGCGGCTCATACGTCGCGGAGGCTCCAAGGAGACCGACAGTTTGTATTGAAATGAAATTTTGTGAGCATATGTAGGTTAATTCAGAGCACTTTTTAAAAATATAAAGAGTTCTACAGGGTGCTCCAAAAAAAGTTACATATCAAAGTTGTGTTTTTTGTAATTGAACACCCTATATATTAATTTATTTTCGGATTCTGGGAGAAAAATAAAGGTGAGTTTTATAAGAGAAGTATATGACTAAGATGTAAAGTTTTTGACATATTCAACATTTTCAAAAAACAAAGAACAATTTTTAAATTACAACAAAAAAGCTACCTAAATTGGAATTTACCCGGTATAGCCTAATATGTAGTTAAATTAACTATTGTACTTTAAATCAAATTAAAACTTGATCCAAAAAGTTATACAGGGTGAGACAAAATTAATTTTGAACATTGGTCGCCTTTAAAAGCATGTTACTCTCTTATTTTAAATGGAACACCCAGTATATTATTCCGATATTCAATGGAGAATTGATGTCTCTTCAAAATACTATTAAGGTTGCCTACCCCTCAAACAAAGATTTTCCTAGATATTTTCATTTACATAATTTGATCTGAGTAGATCTTTATTATTTGATAAAATCTAGGTGGCTGTGATATGTTTGACGTTACTTCAACATAGCTGTCTAATTAGTCCAACTTTAACAACTAGTTATCATTTTGTGTCAGTCAAAACACACAAAATAAAATCTCAGAAATTTCCGAAAATGCTAACTTATCCTACAACAGAGAGAATTGATATGATTCTGTTAGTTGATGAAAGCAGTGTGCATTCACCAATTAATAGAATACTTAAATGCTCCTGATTTTATCTAGTCTGTTTTTTTTTATGGGGATATGTTAAAAACAGTGTTTAAAAAAACTCGACCAACTATTGTCGACAACATGAGAGAAATTATTGTAGCTGCTTTTCGAGGTAGAACTCCACATATGCCTTTTAAAATGATCCTTTTGAAAAAACAATCATTTTATGCAGTTAACAGGAAATGAAGCATTTTGAGCATTTGATTTCAGCTAACTAATTTTTGTCGCATAATTATAAGTTTATATCTAGTTTTAATTCAGTTATAATTAAAATATGTTTTAAACGTGTATTTTTTTATTACCCTTCAGTATTTTACTCTATAATGTTTAATTTTTGTTAAACTAACAAAAGGTATATCACACAGCCATCTAGATTTTTTCAAGATGGCTGAAACGAACACCGAAAAACCGGAAAAATATACTGGATGTTCCATTTAAAATAAAGGAGTAACTTGCTGTTAAAAGTGACTAATGTTCCATATTAATTTTGTCTCACCCTGTATAACTTTTCGGGTCAAATTTCAATTTGGTTTAACATACAATGGTTACTGTAATTAAATATCAGGATATACAAGGTCAACTAAAATTTAGGTAGCTGTTATCAAAATTTAAAATTTACTCTTCATTTTCACAAAATGTGAAATATGTCAAAATCCTTAGATTTTAGGTATATGCTTCTTTAATAAAACTCATCTTTATTTTTTTCCTAGAATCCGAAAATCAATTAATATATAGGGTGTTCCATTAGAAAAAACACAACTTTGATGTGCAACTTTTTTTAGGGACACCCTGTATAATTCTATATATTTTTATAAAATGCTTTCAGTTAACCTACGTATGCTGCCAAAATTTAATTTCGATATAAACTACCGTTCTCCTTGGAGCTTCCGCGGCGTATGAGAGACGCCACCCTGTAGAGGTAGACGGTATCCAATTAAACTTATTTTGATTCTAGAAATATGTGGCAGTTCTATGTCTACGAAATATTGGGACACCCTGTATAATCCTTTCGCAACTCGTTGCAAAATTGTTATAAAACTACGATTTCTAAGAGTTATATTGTAATATTCAAGAGCGAGATTTTTTAAATATGTGAATTTTAAGATAAATATTATTAGGGACTATTATATATATATATATATATATATATATATATATATATATATATATATATATATATATATATATATATATATATATATATATATATATATATATATATATATATATATATATATATATATATATATATATATATATATATATATATATATATATATATATATATATGTATATATACAAAATGTATTTCTTTTTTATTCACTCTTAGACTGAATAATCCGCTTGATTTCTCTTTATCTAGTCAATAAAATTGCAGTTAGTATATTCACTTATTTATTAAAATATCTCTGCTACAATACATTTTTAATAATCTGGGCAACAAAGTTACTTTAATAGGTTTGGCTTCGTAGTCTTCATTGTCTATTGAAAACCACAATTCTTGGCCTTTCACCAATTTTGGATCGATTTCTATGGTTCTGGCTTCGATACTTTCCTCAATCTGTGGACAAATAAGAATCAAGAGGGTATACTATGCGTTGAAAAATATTTATACCTCTCTACTGCCATCATTTTCATATTTCCAGCCCTGTCTAACAAAATCCACATAATCCACCTTTGGAGGACCGATATATAACTGGATTTTTGGTATGTCCGTGTCGCTTATCCTACTTGGAATGACGTTTGATGTGAAAATATTAAAATCTGTAGTTGAAATATTTCTTTCTAATTTTTCGTTGCAATAAGGATTATTAACGTATTGATATTTTCGACTTTCGTCGGTGCCTTTTATGAAGCTAAAAAGAAATAAAATTCAGGGATATTTGCAAATGTACTTGGTAATTATTGGAACAATGTAAAACAGTGATTTTTTTTGGCAAAAATATGTACATATATCCCTGTTTTTGGGCTGCAAACCACAAATTTTAGTTTTTGTAGAAAAACACAAGGGCTTTCTACGAAAGCGTAAAAGCGTAGAGCTGCCATCGCAACATTGAAAAATATGTTTAGAAAAATTTACATTTTTCTGTTAATTTACGCCTTTCTCTTAAATTTACACTTTTCTGTCAAATTACACTTTTTTGGTACATTTATACTTTTCTGTAAATTTAGATTTTTCTGTAAATTTACGCTAAATTTATACAAAAAAGTGTAAATATACAGAAAAGTATAAATTTAAGAGAAAAAATGTGAATTTACAGAAAAGTGTATATTAAGAGAAAAGCATACATTTATAGAAGTGTAAATTTACACAAAAAGCGTAAATTTAAGAAAAGTGTAAATTTACACAAAAAACGTAAATTTACTCTACACAAAAAACGTAAATTTACAGCGAAGCATAAATTCGCAGAAAAGAGTAAATTTACACAAAGTCATAAATTTACTCAAAAAGTAAATTTACAGAAAAGTGTAAATTTGCAGGATTGTAAATTTAAACAAAAAGCGTAAATTTACAGAACATATAAATTTACAAGTTTATTTTGACACATTGCTGTAAATTTACACTTCTGTTTTACACTTTTTATAAATTTATATTTCTGTAAATTTAACTTTTCTGTAAATTTACGTTTTGAATAAATTTACGATTTTTGTGTAAATTTACACTTTTTTGTAAATTTACGCTTTTTGTGTAAATTGACACTTTTCTGCAAATTTATGCATCTCTATAAATTTACGCTTTTCTGGAAATTTACACTTTTTCTGTCAATTTCTGCCTCTGTAAATTTACCCCTTTCTGGAAGTTTACACTTTTTCTGTCAATTTTTGCCTCTGTAAATTTACACTTTTCTGGAAATTTACACCTTTTCTGCCAATTTCTGCGTTGTGTTTTTCTATTTTATTTCTCTAAAATTTTTGTAACTCTATTCAAACTTTTACGATTAATAAAACTAAGAGATAAATATAGTTTTTGACCCAAAAATTGGATGTGATACATTTTTTTTTCTGAAAAGGAAATTGTAATTTCTTTATTCCAATAAATACCATATAACTTTAACTATAGTTAACGGATAAATACTTTTGAAACCATTTCGACTGTGATTGTGACTGCTGACCCTGGTAACAGTTGGAACAACCTGCACAGGGTGGGCTGTAGTAAACTTGGGCTTGGCAGTTCCAAGCTAAATTCGTCTTCAATCTGTAAATACACGTTTATCCTATCTAAACACAATTTTCTACACAAAATTATGGAAACTAATATACCCGTTAAGTAAGTATGTAACATATTTTTTAAGTCCTCCAAAGTACCAATAACTTTCTTTCATCACTTCTGCATCTCTGTAAGCTCCCCATTTTATACCAGACATTGCATATATAGGCCTTTTTTCCTCTTCAGTTAAAATTTCTATTCTCAATACATCTACAGGTTTTGTATGTTCTTCAATAATTGCCATCGTAGCGTCGGCCAAGGATTTTACTCTGTTAAGTTTTGTTTTATTAGGAAATAATGATTGGGACAGTGAATTATTTCTTCCCAATGGCAAAATACCTAAAGGTACCAAATTATTGACATTCTCGTTAGTTCGTCTCAATAATCCTGTGATGACTTCCGAGAGTGTTCCATCACCACCTGCTACTACCAACGCTTCAGGGCCATTAATTTTATCAATAATGCTTTTACCGTGACCTTCGGATTCTGTTTTTACAAGCTCCACTTTTAGACCAGCTAAATGTAACAACGGCGCACAATACTTCTCAAATTCTGATTGTGCCTTTCTTTTATTAGCCTTTGGATTTAAGATAACTGTGACACTTCTTGGATTTGCTGTGACTGGTATCGTTTGATTTCCATATTCTGAAGCTTTTTTGCAGTATGCTCTCATTAAATTTTCAGTTCTAAGTAAATAAATGAAAGGTGATATACTTTTAAAAAAATCTATTTCAAAACGTACTCGAGATAATTTTTTGTATAAGAACCACCCCATCCTAAAACGATTGCAAAAAATGTGGATTTTTTCCAGTTATTTCTTAGTGTCTTGTAAGTTTTAAGAACAAACGCCATTATTTTCAATTTTTCCTAATAACCTATTCAGGAACTAAAAACTAAAAATAAAAATGTATGTTAACAACTCGTACTGGTGTTCCTTGTGTTATTTATCATCTATCTATACATGCTGAATTGGTTCCGTGTCCCATATAAACTTCTTCAAAAAGAATTAAATGTTTATAAACTGAGTGATGAACTAATGGTGTACTTGTTTATTTTTGATTTTGATTATGGAGTGTAGAGCTTGAGCTAAACTATTAACTTTCTCTATGGGTTAGAATCAAAAATCAAAATTAGTATGGAATTTTATTCATAGATGACTCTCATTTAACATTGTTTGGGAACAAAAAATTATAGATTTCCTTAAAATTCTAAGAAAATTTTAATCGAAGTTCAACTATTTAACGTTAGATAGGACTAGTTGTTTTTTTTTAAAGAAATCTATAAATGACTAACTTAAATAATTAACCCAAGATGGCCCCACACATACAAAGTAAAAACAGAAATCTATATTTGCTTACTTTCACCACTTTCCGTCTGGTGGTGCCATAATCGTTAAAACTATAGTTCCAAAGATGCTCACTAAATAAGATTGGCGCTGGCTAATAAATAAACGAAACGCGCCAAAGGAAAAATTTGAATAGATGGTACGTTTTTTAGTAAGTAAATGTAAGATTTTCCCAGAGAAATAGAAGGGATAGAGAATGAGCGTCAACATGCGCAGAAGGTCTCATCAAGTTGGGCGCCATATTCCAGGTCTTCCTGTCATTTTGTATATAGGTGGTAATCTATAAGTAATCAAATATCAATTTGCTGTTTTCAACCATACGGGGGGCAATTTAAATTTAGTGAAATTCTATCATTTATTATGGTTAGTTAACATTAATATAATAATAATAATAATAAAGAACTTTATTAACAAGAAAAATACATACATATTCCCTTATTAAGAGGCGAAGTCTGGCTCTATGAGCCACTCATACTTAACCTACTGACTAACATAATAATATAATAATAATAACAATTGATAATATAACAATATAGAAATGCAATTATTAACAACAATAAAACAATTAATAACAAAATAAAAGCAACTTGCGATGCAAATATAATAAATAATGTTTCATTCTATTATTTGCACAAATTAAATGGTACACAAATACTATTATAAAAATATATCAAAAAAAAAATATATATATATATATATATATATATATCAAAAAATTCCAGAAAACATATTATTTTAACATCTAGATGGATAGAAGATGTTCTTTTAGATTTTTCTTAAACAATTTCATGGACTGTGACATTTTACATTTTAAATCAATATTTAAAGCATTGAATATATGAACTGAATTATATGTAAAGGAAAAAAAAATGAAATATGATTTATTTAATTATCAGTTTCAAAACTGCGTACAATATTGGTATATAATACACTAAATATACGAATATTCTGACAAAAGACGCTACGGACAGATGACCTTTTCGTCGTTAAACACTCGAAATGATATTAAATAAGTATTTACAATATTTCATGTTTACTTGTACTGAATTACGCGTTTCAATTTAAAATTTTTGCAAATTTGGTAAAAATTGTTCTAAACAACTTTTTGTTCAAGTTGTATATTCATAAAAAACATTTGGTTCATAATTATTTTTGATGATTACCTACCTTGTATTTTTAATATAAACCTAGAAAAAATATGTTTTTGTTTTATTTTTTTTATTCGTCCCTTCAAATTATGTTTCAAAAACTGTTACATAACATGTCCTCTAACAAATATTTTCATAATACATAAACATCATTGATTTTATTAAGGGTATTATTATTAGTATTTATCCTGGTTTTTGTCGACAATAAAAACTCAATCTTGTAATAGAACATCAATTTTATATTTCGTAAAATTATTTTGATACAAATTCGATTTGTCAAAATTCAAGTCATTAATATATTGATAAACAACCCAAATTATTCCTAAATATTTTATTATAAACAAAAACTGTTACCGGTAAGTTTGTAAAACACATTATGGTTTGTCGTAATACTAGAAAAAATCATTTATTTTTTGCACAAAAGAAGCTTGTCGATCCTTATTTGTCCATAACAAAATTCTGTATGTACATATACCTAATTTATTATTAAGAAAATTAGATTATATGATCTCAGAATTTTAAGAAATTTTTTTTTAAGATAAAATAGTTTCTTCTCAACTGTAATATTGTCAACTTTGGCCTGTATTTTATCTATTTAAAAACATGGGATTGACAATCCCCTTACTAAAATACATACTGGAAGGTACCGATTAAGTTTCATTGCATCAAATACCTTTACTATAAATCCTGGCTCACAACTCACAATTTAAGGCCATTGCAAAATGCTTTTGAACTTCATCATAGATTTTACAAGAATAAAAGTGTAATATTGAAACAAAGTAACACTGTAAGCTTCATGACTAATAGTCTCATTTTTAACACTCTTTAAATATCATCTCGTTAACAATTATGAATATTATATGATTTTTCTCAGTGATTTGTGGCACAGATACAAATTAATATATGCCCCATAACAGTTTTTAAATAAGAAACTTCTGCCTACAGATTTAATTTTCTTATTGGCATATACCCTTTCTTCCTATATAAATCTTGCCATTTTTTCAGTCCAATGTTCCTTGTATTTACAGTAGTAGGAATACTAAAAATGTTGACTATAGAACTTGATACTATGTTTGAAAAAGCCTTCATACCTGTAACTGTGCATAAATCTAATTAACTGAATTCTCCTCCTCTTGACACTCTGAACACTGCTGCTGCTAATGTTAGAAATATTTAGCACAAAACTACAACTACCTACAACAAACTTTACAATAAAATGTTAAATTTTCGCTGTTCGATTAAAATACCCTATCTTATGTTTTCTTTTCCTCCAAATAATCTTCTTGTCAAGTAAGGACCAATCTTATTTGACATATTTCTGGTACACTTGAACTTGTGCTTTCATGGACACTATAAGAGTGCACTGTTTTACAGAAGCACGAACATTGATTCCAAGTATCTTCTTCCTACACACTTAATAAAAACATCCTCTTTAAATGGCCACATCATACACTTATTTTTGACCATTCCCAATTACAATCACGATTTTTACAAATCGCATTTAGGAAAACTAAAAATAAACCGTTTTGGATCATCTGTAAACACGATTATGTTGTATAAACTTACACATGAAAACTAATCATTTTTCCCGGCGTATTAGCTTTCTTAGAATGACTATGACAATATACAACAAGCGTTTTTGAATTAGTGTTTAGAATAATTGAGATAATAATAAATTTTAACTAGATAACAACACAAACGAAAAAAAAACAAAACAAACAGATGTCAATTAAAGAGGGGAAGTGACAGCGAGGCCTGGAAGATGTCTGCCATCTTGCCGTCGACAAAAATTTGGATGCGCACTCGTCGAAGCTCATTCTCCCACTTCCATATCTTCTCTGGATTTTCCTCTGCTCTCCATACTTGGGTGCCAGATCACATCCGGTCGAAACCTTTGGTCAACGGAACAGACATAAATATCATATTATCCAGAGCATTTTAGTATCGATATCGATCTTTTAATTACGTCCTTCCATTCCTACTCTAGTGTCACAAGTCACAACGTCATAAGCTGTCATAAGTCACAACTAACCTTTAAAATATTTTTTCTGGTGATCGACTGGGAGTTAAAAAATTCTTTAAAATTATATTGTTTAATTAATAAATAGTTCTTCGTGTATTGGAACATGTTGAATCAAGTAAATATCGAGGCGGTGTATTCAGCTACATATGTAGAAAATTACTTGGATTGTGTTGAAAATTTCCCAGATGAACTTCAGCGTCTAATTTCTCGTATGAGAGAATTAGATGTTTACTATCTAGGTAATCGAATAATTATCTTATATCACCGAATTATTAAATATTAGTTTATTCTAGCTCGTGTAAGGGACGTTACAAATCAGCAGAAGAATATAAAAAATTGTTCCAGTGGTGTCCAAAAAGAAAGGATTTTTAAAAGAATGCAACAATCTTTAATCGCAGCTCAAGAACTTGGCGATGAAAAAATGAACCTTCTTCAAAATATTCTTGATAAGATTGAGGTAAAAACAAGATTACTAGATCAGGACTTCAAAAATTTAGGTAAATGTTTAGTATATTGTTTATAAGGTATATATGTACTCTGTAAAGATACCCCACGCATATTTTTGCTTTTTTAAAGATTTTGGTAAAGATGAAGTAACCCCAACAGAAACAAAGGATTTGCAAACCCCTGTTGTAAATACATCAGCTAACTCTACCCCAGCAAGTAACAATGAAAGGTCAATAAAAAGGGCCAGAAGGGGGAGGACCGAAACCTTCACTACATTAGAAGTAAATCAAACTGATGCACCAATACCTGAACATACTTTACGAAGTCAAGCACCGACTACAAGTGTATCTGGAGGAACAACACAGAAAAAGACTAATACAGGTAAGCTTGACGGCAATGTACATGTTATTTTAGATAACTATAATTTTTATTTGTAAAAATTAGGTAAAAAGAAAAAACGTAAGGCACGCCAAATTCAGACACAAAAAGAAGATTCGCCTCCTCCAGAAGAGCAACCTATCGACCCTGACGAACCAACATATTGTCTTTGCGATCAGATTTCATTTGGCGAGATGATTATGTGCGATAACGATCTGTGCCCCATTGAATGGTTCCATTTTTCTTGTGTAACATTAACTACAAAACCCAAAGGGAAATGGTTTTGTCCAAAATGTCGTGGCGATAGACCCAATATTATGAAACCGAAAGCTCAGTTCTTGAGAGAACTTGAGAAATATAATAAAGAAAAAGAGGAGAAGACATAAGAAATAAAACTGAAATTTTTCTTTTGCATTTTTTTTTTTAAATATTACATTTTTGAGTAAGGTTTGAACGTAAGGCTTTGTTTATAAAGTTAAAATTTTTAAATTGAATAAATATAAACATTTTTTCAATTTTTTAACATATTTTGTATTCGTTCTTCAAACATATTTATACATAATTTGCATTGATAAAATATATCTTTACTATGGCAGTGTAACATAATATATAAATACAAAAATAGGTGCATAAATAAATTGTTTAATTAAAAATAAAAATAGCTTAAATACAATCTTATTGTAAATATATTCCACTCACCTAGTAATAAATACAATATAGATTTAATTGTATGGCGTAAAATAAATTATCAGTCAGGAAAAAAAACAATTTACAATAGCATATTAACAAAAGTACTATAGTTTGTCCAAGTCGGTCATTTTAATTAACAGGTAAATTGTATTTTCTGTCATTTTTTGCGTGCTATCTGTCAAAATCAGCCCCGACTTGAGGACAGACTTTAGATTTGTTAAGCTGGTGGTAATAATGGTTAAAGAATATAAGGGCCAATAACACCCGAGAATAAATTGTTACCATGTCTCCAAGCAGTGCTGTGGCCACATATTTTTCTTAACATAGCTGCTTGAAGAGATATTTATATTCTTGATAAATGTTCTGACTACGCGTATAGTGTATATGCTGCTTATTTAGGTGGTACCATACTAATTAATTATAAAAAAACGTATTAAAATGTTAATAAAAAGTACAAACCTATCATCGACGTATAGTTCATATCAAGTACATAAATATCTAAAAAATAATTATGAAATTCAATAAGAAAACGGTAAAAAGGTGGAGTGGACTGTTTATTTGCCTAAGAAACGTCATTCCTGGCTCTTTCTTATCGTTGCGGCAGTTTATACAAAGTCCACTACACACAATATTAAAACTTCCTAAAATTGTCGCTGGTGACACATCCGTTCCTCCAAAAAAATGGCGTCTAACAACACAATTTCTGCTCCAGCTCGTATATGGGCATTATGTATCCTTGTATTCTTTAGCCATTGGGTGGCAAACATTTTTGTTGCAACTAGAGTTTACAATTGTTTGTAATAATGAAGTCCAGCTCTTTTAAGTTTAATAAAGAAAGTTATTCTTTAAATTACATACACGAAATCTACAAATATAATTTACACAAAAATCTGACAAGCGCGTGAGATCAAATAGAAGACTGCCTAAAAACTTATTATACATATATTTTTCTCCATATGCCTGATACATGATATATTTTTAAAATATAGTAGGCATATTGAATTACACTGGTTCTAACTCTTTTTTATGATCTAATATTTCTAGAACTAAGCTGTTAATACAGCAGACTCTAATAATCCAATACATATTTAAATGTAGTACACCAAATTCAAGAAATTATTCAAATGAATAATTTCTTTAGTTATTTTTTTTTTTGATTAATACAGACATCTTGAATATAATATTTTTTTTTAATCAGTTTACACCCAAACGCCGTGAGGATTCTTACTTGTAGGTACTGCATTTTCCAACTGCCTTGGCGATCCAATCATTTTTCTTGTACTACCTTTATTAGGACCTTCTAATATTTGTCTAATATCTTCTGGAGGTACTATACTAAGACTCTGCAAATTTGCTTCCTTCATTTCATTCACTAACTGTTCTACCTGTTTCTTTTTTTCGATTATTGCTATTTCTAATTGCGCTACCTTAAAAGAAAATTACAAGCATTTTAGTAAAAATAATGCTCCCTCTTTATAGAACATTAGGAATTCACTTTAAAAGACACAAAGTTAACTTCATCAAAATTTATACAACTAGTGAGCACCGTAAATTGTTTAGTTTCAATTTGTAGATATTAGTTTAGTCTTAATCATTTGCTGATGATGTTAACAGGGTTAGCAAAACGCGCGTCCTGTGCAAAAGTAAAAGCGTTTTGGTCTATTGTGGTGATTAAGTGTCTTATTTTGCTGATACTACCGTGTGATCGAAAAAATCGTGTCCAGTTGGCTTGGAAATTAAGATTGATGATATTCTCCATAAATTTTACATATAAAATGACAGCGATCTTCATTTCATAATAAGGTCATAAAAGGAACAAAGGATTTGACGAGAAGTGACGCTACTAGTTCCTTTATATGATAAAAACGAAATATAAAAACATATTTATTACCTCTTTTTTCAAGGTCTCTGCCGTAAGGTGGTGTATCTCCGAACTTTGCTTAGCTAGTTCTATGTCTTTCTGAATTCTTTCTAATTCTAACAGCAAATTCCTTTCAATTTGTTTCCGCGATTCGGATTTTTTGCTACACATCCTCTGTTCCATATGAAATTCTTCCATTAGTAACCTAAAAAAAATCTTTAATTCTTCAAAATTCAGGATAATTATTTTTAGAAATACCTAATCTTATTTTTGCACTGCAGTAATTCAGTTTCGCAATTCGCCAGCTTTGATCTTAACAATGTCAATTCGGATTTTAAAGTCTTTTCTTGCTGTTTGACAATTTCACATTCTTCCTCAACGTATGTCAGAGCTTGAATCTAAAATTAACAGAAACGCATAAAAAAATTAACTATGTCATTATAACAGTATCATCATTTTACTTGATCCTGATTTGTTTTGCTTAGGGTAGAAATTTTAAGAACCTCTTGGGTTAAAAAATCTAATTGGAGCTGTTTCTCCCTTTCTTTGCCTTCCCAAAATATGATTTCGGCATCGTACTAAAAATATTGCGCTATTACATAACTTAATTATTAAATAAAAACCGTAGTATTATTATAATGGCCAACCTTTGTAAGATCTGCCTGTTGGTTACTGAGTTTTTCTCTTTGAAAATTGATAAGAGCAATCATTTCTTTGTATTGAATGTTGCACAGTGCATTTTCAGGCATTTTACCCCTATTTTCACTCCAATCCTTTTGAGATTTGCTATCCTAAAAATTGTGAAAAAAACTCAGATATTTAATAAACCTGATCCTTTGAATAAAAAGACTAAGGAGTATAATTACATACAGCTCTTAAATCAAAGGATATTTTTGAAAAGATGTAGTTTTTACTTGTAATAAATAGTTTTTTACATGTAAAAAATAGTTTTTAAATGTCTCAAGAATATATTCTTACCAGAAAATTATTTTTCTTGAGCTTGTCATGACTTATATTCGAATTTGGTGGTGGTGGGTCCCTATATGGTGGGGGTGCAGGGGGATCCTTATATGGTGGCGCTACACGATGACTAGGAGATTCTAACACTCGTTCTGAAATATCCGATCCACAGTAACTGCTCTTTTTTGGTGAGCTATGCGGTGAGTTACTCAAATATTGCTCTCTAACTTCTAAATGTATTGTTTTGACTTGTTGTACCCCTTTAACAACACCAATATTTTCAGATCCACTATTTTGACTACTAAAAATGCCTCTGATTAGTAAAAATGGACCCACAGCACTCCTAGTGTTGTAATAGAGAGAACAATCTCATTCAGTTGATTACAGGGAATGTTCTATAAAAATTCCCAAACATTTTACAACACTAAGCACTCTAAACAACTAACTTATTTTGAAAAGACCTGTTCTGGGTTTCCCTAGATACATCAAAATGAAAGAGTTGCGGAGGTTTAGGTTTGTTATTGGAATGACCAGATTTACTATCACTTCTTTGTAAAATAAATTGTACGTCGTTCGAATACTCGCCCCATTTAAGTAGTATCTAAAAATACAAAATTTAAAATATGACTTTATACATATAGGTAATTGGGAAACCTTCATCGGATTTTCCTGAGGGGCCAATTGTCTTTCATTACTTCTCCATCTTTCTATTAATGTAAATCTACCCGATTTTCCAGTGGCGTGAGCTAAAGCAAAAACTACATCCTGCAATAGAAAAAAAATATGTTAACCTAAATATCTTTTAATAGAATTATAGCAAAATTGTTTTGTACTACCTGACATGTAGTAGCCTCCGTAACACCACAAACAATTCTCTGAATTCCTTCTACCCAAATTTTTAATTCCATATCTTTTAAAATTGGTATTTAGGGTAAAGCTACGAAGGTAAGATATTGTTTGAATAATAAACAAATATACAGGTTTACCTTATTAGTCAAACTAGAAATGTGTTTCATTTTGGTAATAACATGCACCATTTAAGAAATAAATATATTTTTTTATTAAAAAAGATCTGCAAAAATACGTCAATAACTACAATTGACAACTTATGTGACAACTGCACATATCAAATATCAACACACATATCAACATCAACATCTGTTGACATCACGTTGACATGTTGACACTTTCTCAACCATAGATAATATGGATAGACAGGGTTCGAAAGTAGTTAATTAAGACGTAATTTACCCTGTGAATTTACCTGATTAAATACGTGTAGTTTATCTGCAAAAATTACGCCTTTTGTTGTTCAACTACATGAAAACTACTTTAATAAACTAAATTAGAGTTAATGCTCCACATTAAAAACACCCACAAAAAAAGAAAAAAGACTAAAAAATAAAATAATAATATAATAAAATAAAATTTTGACATCTTAGGCCCGGTTGTACCAAAATAAACTGAACGAGAGTTCAACTGATCGGTTGGTCAAAGTTGAACTTGGATTGCGTTGCACCAACTCGCGTTCAGTAGAACGTCGATCAATATTTAGTTTCTTATGTTGGTATAGAATTTCACAGTAACTTTTGGAGTTTTTATATAAGTTGGCGTAAATGCTTTTAAAAGTTTGTTTTATTGATTGGCGGGTTCTCCCAAAATATAAATTATGGTACCTTTTTCCTTTCTGTTGCCATAAAATACGACTTTTTAATACCTGTTCGCGGCTGACCGATTCGTTCATTTACTTTTTTAGACGTTCTAGCTAATACATCTGTACATCATACCTTATTTTTTATATTATATTATTATATAAAGTGAAATCTATATTTAAAGGGTATGTAAGGGGTTTAACAAAAAATTAACAAATTGGAGTAGTTCAAAACTGAACTAGCTGAGCTTCAAAAGAAATGTTTCCTAGAGAGCACAATTTAAAAATGTCTCAAATGCAAGAAAAGCAAGAAGCCTTTATGAGGCAGCAAGAAAGGGAGCATGATGAGAGAATTCAATTTTTAAAATTTAGCAAGGAACTAATAAAAAAAATAATTGACCAATAAATACTCTGTAAATATATAATTATTAAAAAATATCATATAAACACTTAACACACAATATATATGAATTTTGAAAATATGCATACATATTATATCGTTTTATTTCTTTTACATATTACATATCTAGTACAAACAAGTATACTGAATTGTATTAATTTAATATCATTTATTAATTATTGTTATTTAATTATCTACTTATAATCAGAATTATCAAAAATATAAAAATAATCCTATACATACAATAAAAAATATTAATATTATATACATAAATCAAAATATATACAAGAGTATGTAATGGTAATTTATTTTACGGTAATTATAATCACAATTTAATTAATTAACAAGTTATTTTGACTTTAAAACATTAAGACATTTTAAGAATGTTTTAGTAAAATAATATTGAAACATTTTCTAGACGTAAATAATTAGTTCTAGATGTAAATAATTAATACTCAGCAATATATTCTATATCGTAAAATAACATATTTACAGTGATTCAAAATATTCATTAATTAAACTATATCTAAAACTATTATTTATATCACCCAAGTCATTTGGAACATGTTCTCTTATATTATTTCCAATGTTTATTTCCGCTTTGACTTCCGTCAATTTCATCAGTTACTAATGGTGTTGGATCTGCAAAATGACACGCTATGTTATGAAGAACAGTAGCGGAAACCACTATTGCTTCTACTTTATCAACATTTAAACGGATTCCTGTCGCTAATTAGGAAATCTTCTTTTTAGTACACCAAAACACCTTTCTATTGGGTTTCTTGTTCTTATCTGAGCTTCGTTAAATAAGTTTTCAGCCCTCGTTGTTGGATTCGCCAAAGGGGTTATTAGGTATGGTTTTACTCCATACCCACTGTCCCCTAGTAATAAATTATTTCCATATACTCCATTTTCAAACTCAGCCTTTACTCTAGAATTTCTAAAAATCATTGAATCATGTGTAGAACCAGGCCATCTACACACAATGTTAGATATTTTCAAATCGCTGTCACAAATTGCTTGGACATTAAATGAAAAAAATCCTTTCCTATTGCGGTAATTCTCTGCATTTGCCCCTCCAGGAGATTGTATCTTCACATGCGTACAATCAACTGCTCCTATGCATCTTGGAAAGCGACAAATATTATAAAATCCTTGTGCCTTTGAATTTCTATCTTCCACTCCCATTGGCATTTTAATAAAGTCCTTGCTTAAAGATGCTATAGCTCTAGTTACTTTTGTAATCACGCGGCTCGTAGTAGACTTGTCTACACCACTGATATCACCAACACTTTGTAGAAAACATCCTGTTGCTAAGAACCGTAATGTGATAAATACCATGTCAGCTGGTGTTAAAGCATGATTTCTAAAAATAAAAGCTTAAATAAGATACAGTAAATATACATAATTAAACTTACTTGTTTGTTTTAGATGCAATTAAACCGGAAATTTCCTCTATTAAATAATTCACAATAGGTTTAGCAAGTCGAAATCTTTTTTTAAAATCCACGTCATTCCATTTTTCGAAATTGTTTGGTCGAAATCGTACTGTTTGTGGTCTCCTTAGCCGTTCATGTTGTCTCACTAATTCTAAAAAGTCTTCGTCGTCAGTTAATTCACCTAATAAAGGATCCATTACGAAAAATCTTAAGAACAATAACAAAACGATAATCAAAACAACGAAAAGCGGAATATGTCAAATAATAAGGTTATGTCTACCCCTGAACGACGCTTGAACCGCCTAATGAAACCGTTCAGTTGACCGGGCAATTTGAACGGCGTTCAGGCTTGGTACAACCAGAGATATGGAAGTGGTTTGGTTGTGATCCTTTCTGTTTCTCTGGGTACAACGCATTTTTTGCTTTGATCGTCGTTCACAGTTGATTAGAGATGGGCGGTTATTGGTAAAAAACCGGTTATAGGTTAACCGGAATTATCTTTAAAAAATAATAACTTGACAAAATTAACCGACACAAATTAACCGGTTATTCAAATAACCTAACCTAGCAAAACTAAATATTTAGTTTTCCTATAGGTTTACTTACCTCTACACTCCATAGGTCTACTTCAAATTTAGATAATAAACTTAGTTAAATCGCATGATTAAATAGAGATTGTAGCAATGTAAGTATGTATATGTACAAAATGAATTTAAATAAAAATGCTAACCTCACTTTTTTGAGTAGACATGGATATGATATTAAAACTAAAAATTACTTAACGTTCAAATAAACCACACAACCCACAAGTTCTACAATCTACAACTACAACCAAGTTATTTTAATAAAATATGGAGAAAAATAGACCACAAGAAAAATAGACCAAAAGAAAAATAAGGAGACTGAATGAATAAATAATGAAAGATTATCTTCATTCATTACTTGAACTTCTATGTTGAACTTCAATTTTGTATTCTTAATCTAAGCTTCAAGAGAGACTTCAAACTACAAATAAAATATATTTACGGTGAAACGTGGGTGCAACTGAGCGAAACCATGGAAAACTTTTGAAGAACCGTTGAAAATCCGTTAAAGTCGGTTAAAATTTAAATATAGAATTTAGAGAATCTATTTGAAGTTAGGTTTGTATCACTTGGCTAGCTGGTGGCTAGTAGTAGTCTATGGCATTAGTACTTTGCTTTATGGCCCTGACCTGTCAGGGCCATTCGGCCGTTGTTTTGATTATTATCATCAGGGTTCGCCTGATGCCTGAGGGTGCAGCCACACTATCCTAAAAACAGCGTATCGGCGTAACGGCGTAATGACCTTGAATCGATTTCCAGTAATTCTATTGGTTGAAATTTTTGACAGATGAATGACCTTGAATCGATTTCCAGTAATTCTATTGGTTGAAATTTTTGACAGATGAATTTGACAGATAAAATTTCTGACAGATGAATGTTTCAGCCAATAGAATTACTGGAAATCTATTCAGGGTCATTACGCCGTTACGCCGATACGCCGTTTTTAGGATAGTGTGGCTGCACCCTGATTTAATTTTGACATTTGATGTCATATATTTTCGTTTTGGGAGCGGGAGCGGGATCTCCCGTTATCGTCGTAATATCGGGAAGATCCGTGCCGTTCGCTTCTTCGAAATTTACGATTCAAACAGCTAATATTTAATTGTTAGTTGTTTTAAACAAGTACAATAACATAAGAATACAATAACAAAATACAAAAACATAAGAATTCGGTTTCTTGGCGCGAAACGTGAATGTTGAAGGTCGAATGTCTATCCACAGAATAATCCTTCCTCTTCCTCGATTGACCGATATCAGCTGGACGGCCATTCAGGGTGCAGCCACACTATCCTAAAAACGGCGTATCGGCGTAACGGCGTAATGACCTTGAATATATTTCCAGTAATTCTATTAGCTGAAATTTTTGACAGATGAATTTGACAGATAAAATTTCTGACAGATGAATGTTTCAGCCAATAGAATTACTGGAAATATATTCAAGGTCATTACGCCCGTTACGCCGATACGCCGCTTTTAGGATAGTGTGGCTGCACCCTCAGGGTTGTTATTCTCCTCCCGTGGAACCAACCAATCTGTGGCGGGCACTTGCTACCTTCGGAAGTCTGCCACAGGGCTCCCCCCCAGTGAGGAAGCCACTGGTTGCGAACGGTTCTGCTGGCATACGTTGAGCAGCAAACGGTTGGCGTATGAATGTTCCTCCGCCAGTTGATGAGATGCTGGAACATATGCTGCCTTCAGTCGATCCATGGAGACTCGTTGGGGAACATTCTGGACGTCCACCGTTAGGAACTTGTCATCTCGTTCCACAACTCTGTACGGGCCGCTATATGGAGGTGTCAATGGAGGCTTCACTTTGTCGTTACGTATGAAGACATGTGCAGTCGTCTGTAGATCTGGATGGACATAGGGGGTGCGAACTGAGTGGTTGCTCGTTGGTACAGGCCTCAAAGCTCCCATGGTCTCACGGAGTCGTTGAACAAATCGGTGTTCGTCGGTTGGGGTAGCACTTGGAACAAATAGCTGTCCAGGGAGGCGAACTGGTGCACCAAACACTAAATCGGAGGCTGTACAGGCGATGTCCGGTTTAAAGGTGTTCCGCAGGCTCAGCATGACGAGGGGAAGAGCTTCGGCCCAGGATACGACATCAGCAGCGACGAGTGCAGCCTTGAGGGTTCGGTGAAAGCGTTCGATACATCCATTTGATTGTGGGTGATAAGCAGTCGTCTTTATGTGCTGTACTCCAAGTGCTGTGTTAAGCTGGCGGAACAACTGGCTCTCGAATTGTCTGCCTCGATCTGTAGTAATGGTCGCTGGTACACCAAAGCGGGATATCCATCCTTCGAGGAGCTTTTGTACCACTACTTCAGTAGTTATCTCACGAATAGGGATAGCCTCAGGCCATCTCGTAAATCGATCAATGATCGTGAGTAGGTATCGAAAATTGTCACTAGGTGGAAGTGGTCCCACAATGTCGATATGTATGTGGGCAAATCGTTCGTCAGGCATTCCTAGTGGTGTCACCGGTGTAACAGTATGACGTCCTACTTTGGCCCGCTGACATTGAAGACACTCTCTGGACCACTGCTTGACTTGACGGTTCATATTATGCCACACGAAGCGTTCGGCGATCATTCTCAGCGTAGCAGCGTGTCCAGGGTGGGACTGGGTGTGGAACTTCAAGAAAACATCCCTCTGGAAGGTCGCCGGCACGTACACACGTACACGTCCATCTTGGATTGAACAGTATAGGGGTCGTTCGCTATCTGGTATGACAATGTGTTGAAGGTTTAAAGAGCTTGTGGGGTCCTGCAGAGCTTCTTGTAGACCTTCATCAGTTGTCTGAGCTTCAGCTAACCGGTCAAAGTCAATGGTGATGGGTGATGTTATTGCGTCTACCTCAGGTCGTGAGAGACAGTCGGCTACAATGTTCTTTTCTCCTTGGACATGTCGGATGTCTGTGGAAAATTGACCAATAAATTCCAGCTGGCGGATCTGTCGTGGAGATTGACGGTCATGTCGCTGCTGAAAGGCATACGTCAAGGGCTTGTGGTCAGTGTATATGATGAATGGCATGCCCTCAAGAAGGTAGCGGAAATGGTGAATACCGCTAAATATTGCCAACAGCTCGCGGTCGTAGGTACTGTAGTTACGCTCCGTCTTCGACAACTTCCGTGAGAAGAAAGAAATAGGCTGTAAGTGCTCACCAACAAGCTGTTGCAATACACCACCGATCGCGGTGTCCGAAGCGTCGACTGACATGCTCAACTGAGCATGGGGTGCTGGAAAAACCAACTCGGCAGCAGTAGCTAGGAGTTCTTTAACTCTGGTGAAGGCACTTGATGCTGCTGGGGTCAAGTTGAGGTCCTGTTGCTTTTTCTTTTGGTGGGAAAGTAGCTCGGTGAGTGGCATAAGCTCTTTTGCAGCATTCGGTAACCAGCGTCGATAGAAATTAACCATCCCTAAGAAGCGACGTAGCTGTTTGTATGTTGTTGGTTGCGGAAAACTGCGAATAGCACTGACTTTAGCTGGCAGAGGCCTGACTCCAGTTGGGGAGACTGTGACGCCCAAGAAATTTGCCTCTCGTATCCGGAATTTGGACTTTTCTTTGTTGATTTGGAGTCCATTTGCTTCTAGGATCTGAAGAACTACTGCTAAGTGCTGCTCGTGTTCTGCTTCCGTCTCCGAGACTACCAGTATGTCGTCGATGTACACATATACAAATGAACACCCTCGGAAGAGATGGTCGAGGTACCGCTGAAGTGTCTGGGCGGCGTTACGTAAGCCAAAGGGCATACGTAGAAATTCGTACAAACCAAAAGGTGTAATAACAGCCGTTTTTTGTACATCTTCTGGGCGGACTGGGATCTGGTGGAATGCATGTACAAGATCAATGGTAGAGAAAATTTTCTTTCCATGTAGCTGATTTGCAAAGTCCTGAATATGTGGCACTGGATAGCGATCAGGCTTGGTAATTGCATTTAACCGACGGAAATCCCCACAAGCACGCCACTGGCCGTTGGCTTTTTGGACCATGTGAAGCGGGCTAGCCCATGGCGATTTTGATGGCTGAACAATGCCCATTTGTATAAGTTGATTGAATTCGGCCCGTGCAGCTTGTAGACGGTCTGGTGGAAGCCTGCGCGGCTTGGAGAACACTGGTGGGCCTTGGGTGTCGATATAGTGCTGGACTCTTCCAGGGTCGTCTGGTGCATCCGTTGGTCGGTCATAAGGATGGGCAGTAGATATTCCCACCTCCAACGCGCTTACTCGTCGAGACACACACGTAATGCTGCTTGGTATAGTTGGACACACAAGGCGCTTGTTTCGCATATCTACGGTGAAACCATGGTGTACGAGGAAGTCAGCACCTAGGATGGCAGTAGTGACATCTGCAACAACAAAGGTCCATGTGACTGGCTGGCCAAAACCAAGGTCAAGTGTCAACTGTTTCTGCCCAAACGTTCTAATACAGGAACCAGTAGCAGAGTATAGGCGTATCATACTAGGTTTTGAAGCAGAACATGCTTTGCGTGGCAGCACACTTAAGTCGGCTCCAGTGTCAACGAGGAACTGCAGTTTTAGGGCTTTATCTGTGACGAAAAGGCGACGTGGTGCATGGGGGGCAGTGGTTGTCATGATTACTGCGCCCCTCTTGATCGTTTTTGAGAAGGTACATGGTGCTCTACACTTCTTAGCTTGGGACCCAAATCTCCTGTGATAGTAGCAGTGCCCGTCAGTTTTCTCGTCCACACTTACTTTGTTGTTTAACGCAGGCTTTCCGTCCATGGCCATGATAGGAAAACTAGAACATTGTATATATTTGTCAGCTTTCTTGGCCAATTCCTCCAGGTCTCCATCCAGGATTGCTATGACTCCCCGGGCTTGGGGTGGTAGGCGGTCTAACCAGAGTTTCTTTAGAACCTGCGTAGAAACGTTATTTGAGGCCAAAGCTTGCATTCGGTGGAGAAGCTGTGTTGGTTTAAGGTCGCCCAAGGTCATCTCCATAAGCTGGTGAATTTTGTCATCAGCGCTACTGCCATATCTCTCTAACAGTCTAGTTTTGAGGTCTTCGTAGGCCCTACCTCTAGTTGGATTTCGTAGTATGTCGGCTACCTCTAATAGGACCTCGCTGTTTAAACTTGTTACGGTGTGATCGAACTTGCAGTCATCAGATGTTATTTTGGCTTGCCTGAATTGGGCTTCCAGGCGTAGGAACCATAGTTCGGGCTCTGTGCGCCAAAACTCCGGTGCTTTAATCCCTACACGGGCAATAACGACTTGATCGTCGGTTTGGAAGTCGTTCGTGTCGGAGGTGGACATTGCGTATCTGAATCTCTTGCACTCACACGTTCGTCGGGGTCACCAATGTGGCCGTTGCGGGTAGCAAATTAGGCACACTAAATAATTAAGTCATTTAATTAACTCGATCAATTGTTACAAACTAAATAACTATTACAAAAACATAAGAATTCGGTTTCTTGGCGCAAAACGTGAATGTTGAAGGTCGAATGTCTATCCACAGAATAATCCTTCCTCTTCCTCGATTGACCGATATCAGCTGGACGGCCATTCAGGGTTGTTATTCTCCTCCCGTGGAACCAACCAATCTGTGGCGGGCACTTGCTACCTTCGGAAGTCTGCCACAAACGTAATGCAAGGTTATTAGGTTAATTGGTGAAAAAAAAACTACCTTTAAATAACCGGTTATTTTAGAGGAAAATACCGGTTATTCAAAAAACCGGTTACTTTTGCCCATCTCTACAGTTGATCTGTCGGTGAACTTCGTTGGTACAACCGGGCCTTAGCCTCTAAAAATGTGAAAACGTTAGTTGACGTATTATCTATGGTTGATATGTCATATTCCATGAATCTCTGGAACACAAAACACAACCCTGGCAAGGTTGATTCTTGAATTGTTCGTCATTTTTACAATTGTCCATTTTTGCTATATTAATATTTAGAATAATTTAAGTTATAATCTATTTACAAATTTATATTTTAATTATATATTCTATACTTCCATTTATTAAGGTAAAATCTGTGATTTTGTATACATTTTCGACCAACATTTCTTTTAATGAGCTTTAGTAGTTATTAAGTTATATAATCAACTTAACTTATTTTTTTATTGTAGAATTATGGGTCACGGTTTCGGACAACTTTACAAGTTAAGACGAATAATTACTTATAGATTATCGCCTTACGAACTTAAAGCATTTGCAGGAGTTGTTTCCCACGGATTCCCCAATACTCTCCGTAGACTTCTAGAAAACGTTCCCTATATGGTACCACGTAAGTAATATTTATTTTTAAATATTAATTACAGATGTTTCTAATAAATAATGTTTTTGTAGCAATAGCTTTAGGGTATGTAACATATGAACAACTTGAGAAGGAACATGAGAGGCTCATGAGAAAAAACCCTGCAGATTTTGAAAATGATAAGTAATTTTATTTATTGTTATTAGTGCTCTTAGTAAAAATATGTATACTTATTGTATTTAAACGAAAAATATAAATAAGAAAAAACAAATGCAGTTTTTATATATCTTCCATACAGAATAATTCTTTTTTAATGAAATTTTGTAAAGAATATACAAAACTCTATGTGTCTAAGTAATAAATTAATTTATCGATTTAGTCCCTTTATTACATTCAGGCTCACTATCCTCTTCGTTGGAAGACTCCTCACTATCGCTGGAACTGCTGGTGTCAGTGTCAATCACAGGTCTATTTCTGTTTACAAACAAATCATCGCTATTTTCTTCCTTACTTGTTTCCTCTTTAAATCCCTCGGGCCAAACGTTCTCCTTTCTAAAATGCTTTATATGTTCGTTGGTCAGTATCCTAACTATTTCTCCTTTGACTTTGTCGCCTTCTTTGATCGGTTCAATTAAAATATAATCTCCTCTTTTGACCCAAATATTTTTGCGGAATTTTGTTGGCATAGAGACAAGAAATCTACCTCCGTGCGAGTCTTGAACCTCGTGTAGGTTATTTCCTCGGCTACCTAATACTTTTACTATCTGTTGATTTTCGGAGGGTGTTGAAAAACCGTGTTGAAACACTTCCAACAACACGTGTTTACGTTTCGTGGCTTTGGACATTTCTAAAATTAAACATATCTTAAATATTGTAAATTTATAAGTCAGTTTCATAAAGAGTTAAGTTTTAAGTTATTTCTTTTTAAGTCAATTTAAACATAAAGTTTAAATGATTTAAATCTCATTGACTTAAATCATTTTCTTTCAAGTCAAGCCATTTTCGTAAAGACTTATTACAATCACAATAATTACAGTCAAGTCAAGACAGCCAAAATTCAATTAAGTACGTATTTTTTAATGTTAATATAAATTTTCTTGTATTACCGATTGCCTTATTACCTACCTAATTAATAATTTATTGTAGGTACAAATGAGACTAAAACCACATAATCTAGAACGGTTAATTTTCTGAATAACTACAAACACAAAAGTATGTCTAATATACAGGGTCCAGCAATAATGCGTCGGGCAGCTTATAGAATAAAAATCTTGAGAATTTTGTTTAAGTGCAAACCTAAAGCAGGTACGAGGATGTATTTCAGGAAAATATTTTAACTTCTATAGGGTGGCTCAAAAAAGTGTGGGTGGATAGGAATTATTTTTTTAAGTTGAACACCCTGTATATTATTGCACTTTTTGGTTCCTTTCAGATCATTTTACATAATCGTAAGATATGAGTAAATATATTTCGATAATTTCAGAGATATTAATAAATAAATAAAAAATATATATTTTTCTACCTTCATTCAAAAAATTATTATAAGTACAAGAACTGTCCTGAAATCAAAACTATATTAGGTATTTACTTTAGATGGTCTGTACTTACTTTGCTACAAATATCGTAATCTTAAATCATACAGGGTGTTCAAAATTCTACGCCAATCTTTTTAAATTATAAAATAATTTTTCTTTGTTTTTTTTTATGGTAAACCCTGTATATTATTTTTTTATTTAAAGTATTTCAAAATTTTTAATGGTTTCGCAAATATACGCAGTATTACTTCATATGACTCTAAAATACGAGAGAAAAATCATTGGGTGGCTTTGAGAAAAATTTACCGTGAAAAATGCCATATGAAATATAAAACCGGGAATATCAACGAAACCGTTAAAAATTTTGAAATAATCTAAATACAAAAAATATTCATTTTTTAGTTCTTCATCTATTGAAAAAATAATATACAGGGTGTTGTATTTGAAAAAACGAAGAAAAATTATTTTATATTTTAGAAAGTTTGGCGTAGAATTTTGAACACCCTGTGTGATTTACGATTACCATATTTACGACAAAGCAAGAACAGACCATCTAAAGTAAATACCTAATATAGTTTTGATTTTAGGACAGTTCCTGTATTTCTAATAATTTTTTTTTAGAAAGGCCGAAAAAGAATATATTTTTTATTTATTTATCAATATCTCTGAAATTATCCAAATATAGTTACTCATATCTTAGGATTATGTCAAGTGATCTGAAAGGAAGCGAAAAATGTAATAATATACAGGGTGTTACATTTAAAAAAAATTATCCCGACCCACTCACACTTTTTTGAGCCACCCTATAGAAGTTAAAATATTTTCCTGAATATATCCTAGTACCTACATATTATACTTTAGCTTTGCATTTAAACAAAAATCCCAAGATTTTTATTCCATGAGCTACAGATATACCCGACGCACTATTGCCGGACCCTGTATAACCGCCTGATAACCGCATAAACGTTAAATGCCAGTTTGACGTTTTATAATTCGGTTTACTAATTCAAAATTATGAGTGGAAACAAAAATACACTAAGTAACATTTACAACAGTTGTTTTAGACGATATCTAAAACATTCAGAACTGATTGGAGGAACAATACACGATCAAAGCGTGGCAGTAGACAATGTTTTTAAGATATCGCTGGAGCTGGAACAGAATTTCCAAAAGTACAGAAGGCCCGTGAACTCCATTACGGAACAGTACATAACCGAACCCTTGTTGCACGAAATCGAAAACGTAAAAATATTCGAAGCTAAAGCTAGCGACTCGATTTTCCAAATAACCCTAATCTGCAAGAGCATCAAAATTTTCGAATGGGTCAGGGAAGCGGACGTTCAAAAATTTATATCGAAACTGAACAAGTACGTTCAGTTCTATCAGCAAAAAGCCCAAGCCGAAATCGAACATTTGGATATAATACACTTCGAATGGTTGAAAAACTGGAATGAAGTTTACGAAGAGTTTTCGAATTATATTTTACACTATTACAAAAACGGTATAACTTGGTTAGGCAGTATTTCAATGCCTATAACGTCCGCTTTGGGGGATGCGCAGATTGTGCACAAATCCCAACAGCATCGCGCATTATTCCAGGATATTAGTAAGGGTGAATTAATACAGAACATGTTACAGCACCCCGCTGTACCGGAAGAACCAAAATTACCACACGTTTTCAATAAAACCGATCAAAAATGGTTAATACAAAACCATAAAGATAATCATAAAGGATTGGTAGTAAACACCGCAAAAAAGGAAGAGGCTGTTTTAATTTATAACTGCCTGGATTGCACTATAGTAATAGAGAATATTATAAACGCCTTGAGGGTCGATTTGTGCAAAAAAGTGACTGTGCTGCTTAGGCAAACTTCGACAGCAGAGGTGGTTGACTGTAAAGATTGCAATATACATTGTTTCGATAAAATTGCGAGTTTAGATTTGTCTACTTGTGAAAACTGTGGTCTTTATTTGTCAGATAGATCATTGGATACAAATATCACGTCAACAAAATGCACAGGAACTAATATTAGTTTCCCTTTTGAGGATGGCATATACAAAACTTTTAAAATATCCAACAAATTACTGACCAAGATTCTTCCCAATTGTGGCATTGAAACAACAATTAATCAATAATTTTACAAAACTCTTATATAAATGTATTGTAACATATTATTATGTCCCTATAGAAATGTGTAAACTACAGTTACTCATTTTTTTATTAAAAAAAAAACTGTTTTTATTTATGCATATTTATTTAATCACCTGTCCTTTAAAAACTTGCTAAACTTTAAATCGTCGTACCAACACTTATATCGTCCGTTTGCTTTTTCTATGGCTTGATAAATATCCAAAGCTTCCCCGCGCTTTATGCCATACCCTTTCTCTAATCCATGTGGATTACTAGGAGTACAACAGTCATCGTGGCATTCTTTCCTTAACACAGTATCGACTTCTACGCTAGAAAAGAACGCGACTGCTTGAGGGAGGTCGTGCAATCCCAATTTATAGGCAAAAAAACTTCGCGTGAGCAAGTTCGAGACGTGTAGAGCCAGAGCTGCCTTGTATTTGTAATTTTCCGGCACTATATATCGGATTTCGTCGTGAAAACTGATGCAGAAACGAACTTTGTCGCCCATGATCCATTTCATACACACCAGCATCAAATGCAGGAAATCCACGGCTCCTGATTGGACCACCCAGTTCACCCTGGTTGTCAAATACTTATCGTTTTGAGTGTTCGACTCGAGAGCTCGCGTTAGGCGGCAATCCAAAAAAGGCGTGCGCGGAGCTGGGCTGTTGGCTATTTCCTCAAGGCGATTGAACATGGCGGACTCGGTACCTCCCACCCACTTGGACTTGTCGAACATGTCTTCCACGCGTTTTCCGCAAGCCCTGGCTATGTCCAAAGCTTGCCACTTGCCGTAAGGTTTGTCGGGGAAGTCCAGAGATACGTGTTCCGATTTCAAGTAGTATATTTTCTTTCCTTTTGTTAAGGAGAACATTTTAACTGCTTTACTTCTGGCCTCGGATTCGCTGATGGACGGATTGAACTGCTTTAAAAGTCTCTCGGCGAACTGTTGTCCCGCGCCGTATATTCGGGCGTAGTTGATCACTTTGGCGTGGTCTCTAGAAATGCCTACGGCCTGAGCTGTCACGCTGTGCATATCGGTTTTCTTTGCTTTCGAGCCTGACAATGTCATCCATCCAAAGGGGGTACAGCCGTGCATTTTCGCGTGGTAAGCATCACCTGTAAATACGTGCTTATATCACAGTTGGAAATGCCGGTATTTTGAAGAAAAAAATCCCCCAGGTTGATATTCGCATATTTGTATATTGAAACACATTGTAGGATTCAGAGTTCAAGAAGGAGACTCTGTGTCAAGGCTCTTATCTGTCAAACGGATCTAAAACAGCAAGAAGTATTCGACCAAAAAAATCGATGTTGTCACGATAGCGACATTTGTCTCAAAAGCGGATCATATAGCAACAATTACTCTGCAAAATCAAAGAACTGTTACTGCTGATTGGTACATATCTATTTGTTTGCCGGAAGTTCTTGCTGACTTTCGAAAAATCAATCCTCAACGACGAACGATCTTCTGCTAAGACAATGCTTACAACTAGAGATCTTTTTAGATCTTTCAAAGTAACTTTTTAAGGATTTTTTTTTTCTAATTTAAAGGTTATATTTTTGTTATTTTTAGCCCTATTTTCATGAATTTTTTAGCAGGCTGTATATAATTATATCAACTTTAATCCGTAAACTCAGTTTTTTATAAACTTTAGTATTTGTCATACTATACAGGGTTAATCGAGGAGTTGTGTGTTTTTTACCCTAACTTTAGAACAACCTGTGCAATAATTTTGTGTGTAAATTTTCCTAAAATATAATTTTACGGTCAGAACCATAACTCCTGAGCATTTGGTTTTTGATTCATGTCAATACATGCTTTGGTTAATTTTTAAGAGCGAAATGAACTGATCACAGTCAATTCGGAATTTTTTCAATTATCATTACTTTTTAACGTTATTTTTTAATATGACAGAATGGTTTTGGTGACTATTGTCGTAACGTCATAATACGCCGCATTGGATAATCTATACTTAATTAAAAAAAGTTAAAAACTAGCGATACAGCCTGGGTTTTAAAAAATATTAATAACGATAACAGAACTAACGATATTAAAGAAAACATTTGTAATACTCAAGTATACAAACAGAAAAAAATATATAAAAATACCCTAATACTTTGTATTGCTTTCCTTGGCTGCTATAACTGTCTGTATAGGTCCATTCATACTGTCATTAAGGCTGCATATACCATAGTGCGTTATGCTTTCCCATTCTTCTTTAAGGACCAAGCAAAGTTCATTTAATGAAGCTGGTACTGCTTCGCGAACTCTAACAGATCATGGGTTCCAGGAACCAGTTCATAGTAGTATCACAGATTAGGTATCCTATAAGTTAATATAGGTAAAATAAATACAGATAAAAATCTTGTGCCTAATTTGTGGTACAAAAATTGTTTTTTCTGACGATGTGCAAACGAGTAGAATTTCCTGTGCGCAAAAATAAAGTCGCGTAAAATAACAATAAACAGCGTAATAGAGAAATATCGCTAAACCGAATAGCGTGCAGGGACGTTAATAAGGCCAGGTGTTATTTCCTTTATGTGAGGTGGTATTAACTCTCTTCATTTATAGTTATCGGATCGGAAAGGATTCTGTTCGCGTCGCGTCCGCTATTTAAACTTAACCTAACTTTGAAGTTAAAACTTTGAAATTGTTTTGTTTACTAGGTATTTTAAAACTAAAGGGCTAAAGTGCTTATTTCCAGTGCTTTCTTGTTCAACGTCTGCCAGTGGGTTTAGGGCAACAAGCAACAAATTCTCTTAGAAGGGCTAAGTCGTCATCTGCTTAAACCTAAGCCTCTTTATAGGTTTAAAGTACGCGTAAATACTGCATGACGCTATTCGGTTTTCCGATATCTCTCTAATAACTGTGCCGGTCAGACGCTGTGCACAATTTTAGAGGCCATAAGTGGGCGTGCTATTGCTGTCCTCTTTTCACGCAGTTGAGCAGCTCTGAAATGTTCAAGAACGCGATACTCTCACTCCATTCAATTGAGTCATAAAGTTCCAGAACTGTCCCGCGCCATATGGCGGCACGAGGCTATCGCGCACCGCTCCTTTCAGAACCGTTCTCGAGTAGCCCCAGGGCGTAAAGCCCGGAATTCGAAGTTCGCGAATGGAGGACAGCATATGTGCGCAAACTAGTAACCTAACTAGTGCCCGATTCCGAAAATTGGAACCACGAAAAACAATAAAGAAAAAACAAAGTTTATAATCTGTATAATCTGTGGTAGTATATAGTTCACAATAATCACCAAAGCTTTGTCATATTGAAAAATAACTTCAAAAAGAAATGATAATTAAAAAAATTGCAAATTGTTGGTGGCAAGTTCATTTAGCTCATAAAAATTAACCAAGGCATGTATTGACATGATCCAAAAAACAAAATGCTCAGGAGACATGGTTCTGACCGTAATATTATACTTTAGAAAAATTTTCAACGAAATTATTGCACAGGGTGTTTTGAAGTTAGGGTAAAAAACAACCCCTCGATTAACCCTGTAAAATATACCAAATACTAAAGTTTATAAAAAACTGAGTTTACGAATTAAAGTTGATATAATTATATACAGCTTGCTAAAAAAATCATGAAGATAAGGCTAAAAATAACAAAAATATAATACTTTAAATCTGACCAAAAATTTCTCTGTTACGTTTTTTTGCATCTGAGTGTATATGCGAAACATAAAAGACAACCCTCGAATCTAAGTTGAACTCGAATAACCGCAATTGTGTTTTAACATACGATATGTGAATATCGATACAGGGTGAGCCAAAAAGAAAAACTCGATTGAGAAGGTATTAACCTAGTACACTTGCAATCCACAACTCTTGAGAATCCACATCCGCTCCGATAATGTTGTATCCAGGAGGTGCTTGTACCATTCCTTTAAGCTCGCTACCGATCCTCTCCGCATGCGCATTGGAGGCCGTCATCCAAGTTGGTTCCATGGCTCGTCTAGTCAATGTGCCACACACAACTACCTGAGGAATAATAGCTCCGTAGTTGAAATCTGAAATATCGTTGCTTACTCAAAGTGTTTAATTAGCTATTTTAAATTTAATACTTATATCTCGAAGGTGTTTTGGTAAATTATCTTGGGACAACCATATTATCATTTGATCTATAATCCTATCCCTATTATTTCTCCAGTAAGACAGTTTCCTGGCTAGAGTTAAGACTTCCTCGGCACTATCAGTGTCTCCAGCCAAAACGTTTTCGGAAAATTTATTCAGGAAATCTTTTGCCAAAGGGTTTCCAACGTTATAAGCGGTTCCGTCTTTGTGGGGTAGTTTAAAAAACCAACAACAATCTTCAATTTCTGTATTACACCAAATGCCTGATCCTATATTCAGTTTAAAAAAAAGGATATATATTTAATGTACAAACATCAAAATACCGGGTGTTTCTCAAAGGTGGCTCACCCTCATAACTTTTTATTTTTTCGGATAAAAAAAATGAAATTTAGTACGTTAGTATATGACATAAACCAGGATTGAGTGACGTATTCAAAAGTTGAAGTCACTTACTGTCTCACCGGAAGTGACTACAACTTTTGACTTTTTAATGAACCCTTTAGTATTTTTTTTACTTTATTGGATAGAAAATTTCACTCTGAATAGAATGACATATCATATGTCAACTTTTGACATTTTCGTATATAGTTTATTTGAAATTGTAACATGCGGTTCATAACGACAATTTGACTCGAAATACCAAGTGTGTGGTATCAAATTATTCCTAAAAAAATGCTTTTTTCAAATATGCCAATGAGCCACGCTCGTTCGCTCGTTATATTTGAAAAAAATGAGATATGATTAAAAATACGATTGAAAAAAATGAGATATGATTAAAAATACGATTTGGGCATCTTTTAATCAGCCAGGACAAGACACGAAAAACATTAGACAATCAAATCTATTTTTCCAAGGCTCTTTGATTAAAAGTTAGTGTTTTTAACACAGTCATGGCACTCTAGTTTAAAATACGATTTTTTTAAAGCAAAAGTGTCAAAAGATGACATACGATATGTCATTTAACCGGCTAGGACAAGATATTAAAAACATTAGACGACAAAAACCGATTTTTCCAAGGGTTCTTGATTAAAAATTAGTGTTTTTAACACAGCAAAGGCATTCTAGATTGACATTTAAAATACAATTTTATTTAAGCGAAAATGTCAAAAGTTGACATACGATGTCATTCTATTCAGGGTGCATCCACACTATCCTAAAAACGGCGTATAGGCGTAACGACCTTGAATCGATTTCCAGTAATTCTATTGGCTGAAATTTTTGACAGATAAATTTGACAAACAAATTTTCTGACAGATGAATTTTTCAGCCAACAGAATTACTGGAAATCGTTTCAAGGTCATTACGCCGATCCGCTTTTTCTAGGATAATGTGGATGCAGCCTCAGGGTGCATCCATACTGTCCTAGAAACGGCGTATCGGCGTAAAGACCTTGAATAGATTTCCAGTAATTAAGGAAGTGACCGAAAACACTTGAATATACATCAATCATTTGTCATATACTAATATACCAAATCTCGTTTTTTTATCTGACAAAAGTTATAGGGGTGAGCCACTTTTCAGAAACACCAGATATATAAATATACCTTTGTATAATCCTCCAGTTTTATCCTTTTTTACACGCGAGTAGAATTCCCTTTTCATTAAATGTTCATCGACGGCCTTGGTGATATTAACATCAACATTTTTTAAGGCACTGTCTTTATTAGTCAGTAGCGGACATTTATTTAGAAGCTCTTTTAAAGGGAGTTTTCTTTCAACGTCTATATCGTCTGAAAACGGCACCAAAAAGCCCCAGCCTTTTTCTTTGACGTGATGGAGAGGGAAACCTTCCCAAGTCAAAGACAAGAGTTTCGGCGTTATTTTCATCGAGGTACTCAACAGATGCGGTCCCGGTTTCCAATCTTCGACCGATTCCGGCTTCATACACAGTTTCCTGTACCTTGAATTAAATTAAAATATGAAAGAAACCGTTAATAAATAAATATAACTCGCTCACCAATTGGGATAACCAGGTAAAAGTGTCACAGTTTTTGTGAGGTTTTCCCTTGTACTCCATACCTTTTTAAATTTTTTCTTCAATGAAATTTCATCGTCCGATTCATATTCTTCGGGAAGTTTTTCATTTTCATCTTCAATTTTCGTCTTTTTAACGTTAATATTCTTTTTAATTTTCAAATCTTTTACTTCCCAGTCTTCATCCCACAGCCAAAGATCTTTTCTATAATTCTCGTTATGAAGTAACTGGCAAGCTTGATCTGCTCTTCTGGCAAGAAGGATTTTACCTTCGTTTTCGACATCTTCGAAAGATTGTTCAGCTTCGGAAACATAAAGGTTCCAGTTTTGATTTACAGGTAAATAGGCTGTACCAAGTTCCAGCATGCCAGCTAGTGTAACTGGATGAGGGAATCTTTCCAAAAATAAAGGAAACAGTTTTTTAAGAACGTTATAAGTGGCTGTGACATCGTCAGCGCAGTATTTCATGACTTTTTGAAAATCATTCCTAATATCATCTATGGTTCCTTCAACAAATAAATTCCTAGTTTCCTTTCCTATTGTTTTGCCACAATACAGATTGTAAACGTCCACCAAATTGTTTAAGGAACTTACATTTTTCCATGTAGCATCTTCTTCATCATCGCTTGAAGATTTTATGATTGCCCTTTGAAAACTAGTCAATCCACTGACACAAATATGTAAACTCATAGTATCTACAAACCTAGTACCTGTCTTATTTAACCAATATTGTTCCTTAATTCTAGCTCTATCATACGAAACGTTATGACCAACAATTATTTTTGGTTTTAACTGATGATTGGTAAGATGCATCCCATCATGATCTACGGTACTTTCAAATGGAACTAAATTTGAAATTGGGTAATGGTGTGAGGTGTTGGGTCTAGAATTTCCTTCAATTAGAGTTGGACTAATCCAGCTATACCAAGCTTTGTTTGACACGGCTGTAGCAAGTGTAGGCAATTTCCCAATTGCCATACAAACTTCAACATCAAAAACAACCACATCCTCTAAAGGGAAATCAACTTTCATTGGTGATTTCCCTGGCTCGTATTTTGTCCAGCCTTCTTGCAATAACCATGTAGCAGGTTGTTCTGGTAAAAACTCCAGAAGTTGAAATACTAATGATTTGTACGGATCTACCATTTCATTCCCAATATGTAAAAAATGATCTTCTATATTATTTCCCTCCAAAGGGGGCAATTTAAAATCTACATCTGGAAGTATATCTGTGTCTTCACTTTTCATGTTGTGTTGTAAAAGTTCCTTTTGAGACTGATTTAGGATTTCATTATTGCATTGTTCTTTAGGTGTCTCCTTAAATACTTGATCATATATGGGTTTTGAGAGCATCTGAATACCCAGTTTATTCCTTCTATGACCTAGTTTCTGTTCCATGCATTGTACTTTAAGGGGCACTTCGAGTTTATTTTTTTTCTTATTAGGATTTGGGGCAAATATTTTTGTACGAGTTGTGGGAAACATTTCATGATAAAGCCGTTTATATTTGGACCAGGTGTTATATCGTAAGAGATTGTTTTTATTAGACAAGTGCTTGAAAGAGGCCATAGAGCTGAAGTTTCATTAAATAAAAAATAAAATTAATATGAATATAAGTACAAATCCCGGGTCTGTGTTTTAACGACTAAGTCAGAAATAAAGAAAATTTGCTTATAACTATAAGTTAAATAACTAATGATTTGTTATCAGAATAAATACTAATAAAAGTCTATCAGTTTTAGGTATATAATACCGTGTGATCGAATAAAAACGGCGTCCAGTTGGCTTGGAAATGACGATCGATGACATTTCCCATATAAATTTACATATAAAATGACAGCGATCTTCATTTCATAGCCATCGCTGACGCCGTTTTTATTCGATCATACGTTATTATACCGTATGGTCGAAAAAAAAACGGCGTCCAGTTGGTTTGGAAATGACGATCGATGACATTCCCCATATAATTTTACATATAAAATGACAGCGATCTTCATTTCATAGCCATCGCTGACGCCGTTTGTTCGATCATATTGTATACAAGTTATAGAATTTAATACAAAATCTATCGAACTGATCAAATTGATTTTCTTAAACATCTAGCCAAAGCTATTACAAATCTAATGATTAAAAAAGGTTCCTCGACTAAAAAATATTGAAAAAACTTAGTGGGAATACCAAAAGACACTGTGATATGGAAAACATTAGCTGAAGAGGAGTGTCTAGAAATGAGAAGTTTTTGCTCTATGTGCTTTTACAAAATAAAAATAAATATCCAGTATCTTTGTACAGTTTGTAAAAAACCCATTTGTCTACAGTGCTCAAGAAAAATATGTTTAAATTGCTGCGAGTATAAAAATATGTGCAAATATTGCTTTTTTATGTTTGGTACGTATTTTTTTAAATTACGTTGATACAAAAACAATGTATTTTCTATTAAATTGTCTACCAGACCACTCTGTAGCGATTAGAGGAAAATTATTCAGTGTAGCAGTTAAGGGTACATATAACAGATGGAAAATTAGTATGTTGTAACAAAGTCTCAATATGCAAGCGCTATTGTAAAAAATATACTATACTATATGTGTCGAACAAATTATTAAAATATAAAGCAATGGATACTATAAATAATTTTCTACAACAAGAGCTAAAACACATAAGGCCTATCTTTTTTTTTAATTTACGCTTAGGTAATTATAAAATAGGTCAAATACACGCAGAAATTTAATGATTTTTCACAAGATCTGGAATTTTTTGTGACGTTGAAGGTTTTTTAAGGCACCGTTAAAGAAATTCGCTCAAAAATTTATGACAACACTGATGCTGCGCCCCTAAACCACCTCTCGTGTGTTTTAGCTCTAATTCAGAAAGTAAAATATTGCTGAATGGGTATTAAGTACATAGCTTACCTAGTCCTGTTTTTTCACCGAACAAAACAAAAGTAAGTATCGCAGTTGCAAATGACTGCACTCCTTATTTATGAATTTATGTTTATAATACAAGGCGAAAATCAAACTCCTATGAAATTTTGTTTGCAAACTTGTCCATTAAAAATATTATTCAATATCCGTTTATTTTACTTCTGATCAATAATTGTATAGCTATTATTTTGAAAACTGTGCTTACAATTTACAATCATAAAATTTGATAAAATAATAACATAAAAATGAATATTGAACACAGAACACAGGTTATGTCAAAGGGTTATGTTTTCTTTGTGTACGTTGTGTACCACTTGTACCAGTCAGTATGGTTCTGTGTTCTGTGGTAGAGATGTAGGGACGGGCGTTTGTTTACTGCAATGTAATTAATTTTACATCATTGAAAGAAAAGTATTCCCAATTATTATGATAATTACATTCGATTTATGTCTAGAAGACTTGTTTATGGCTGGAAAACATAGAATAAATAATAAATAAATAGTATATCCTATGTTTTCCGAAGTAGTTCTTTTAACCAGGTGTGTACCATCCTTGGTACACCCCCCATAGTTTTGATTTCTATCGTTAACAACTTGTTAGCTATGGCTATCATATCATATGTTATATGTCAAAATTGTCATTTTCATTGTTTTAATCTTTGGTTTTAATTTTTGTTCTCTGTTCTGAGATTTTCTTGTCCAATTTGAAAGATTTCCATTTTATTTATTCCAGAAATTAAGTAAATCTCCCGTTATTTTATTTCGTTTATTATTTAGGATAGTTAATAATCATATTAGTTCCAATTATATTTTGTAGCTGTGATTATAAATTTGTATATTATTACGTGGTAATGGAAGGTCATATAATAAAAGAATCTTACACATGTATTTCATGTCGTGTTGGTTTTAAGGATCCCGAACTACAAAGATTACATTATAAATCAGATTGGCATCGGTAAGAACTCAGTAAATATTACAAGAAGGTGACGTTTCAGTATTTTGTTTTTAGATACAATTTAAAGCGTAAAGTTGCAGAGTTACCACCTGTTACGTCCGAGGAATTTCAATTAAGGGTATTCAACCAGAGAAATGCAGATGAATTATCTAAACAAGATTACAATATGTATTGTCAAGTTTGTAAAAAGAATTTTAGGAATGAGAATGCATTTAATAATCATTTGAATTCGAAAAAACATAAGACCAATGAAAAACACTTTGTTCCTGGGAGTGAAACTGTCAAGGATCAAAATGTGAATGATGAAGCAATGTCATGTGATTCTGAGGAATTAGATTCAGATGAATGGGATGATGAGATTGAGAATCCAATTGATAACAATGATTGTTTATTCTGTGTGGAACACAGTCGCAATTTTATATCGAACTTAGAACATATGACTATTAAGCATTCGTTTTTTATACCTGATATTGAATTCTGCACTGATGTTGAAGGACTGTTAAGGTACCTTGGTGAAAAAATTGTACAAGGTATGTTTTATTGTACTTGAACAATATTACAGTAGGTCTAATTTGTTAATTTTAGGTTTTATGTGCCTGTGGTGTAATGAGAAAGGTAGGACTTTCCACTCAGCAGATGCTGCCAGGAAACATATGATTGATAAAGGACACTGTAAAATGATTCATGAAGGTATATCTTTAGCTGAATATACGGATTTTTATGATTATTCCTCGTCATATCCAGATGCAGAAAATGAAGATGTTAATCCAGAACAAGACGTAAGTCATTTTGGTTGTCATCAATCCATTGTATCACATTTACAAAGCAGTTATCTCTAGGTTTCAGTACCCGAAATTGATGGATCAGATTATCAATTAGTATTGCCTTCTGGCATAACTGTCGGTCATCGTAGCCTCATGAAATATTACAGACAAAGTATCAATCCGAATAAGGCATTGGTAGTGTCAAATAAGAATGACAAAAAACTGCATCATGTTTTAGCCAGTTACAAGGCTTTGGGATGGACTGCAACTGATCAGAAAGCAGCAGCAAAGTAATGATATATTTTATTTTAATTTGGCATGCAATACAATAGATTGGTCTTATTTTAAATACATCTTAATTATATATTTTTTGATTTTATAGGAAGGCAAGAGACATACATTATTTGAAACGGATGCAGTCAAGGTACATGATGAAACTTGGCGTAAAAAACAATAAACTACAGAAGCATTTTAGACAGCAAGTCAACTTTTGAAGCGTTTTATATTTTATATGTTTCAAAATAAATTTAATCTACAACAAATTATAACAACTGTGTTATTTTTAATCATTAAACTTCTATACAGGGTGAGTCTTAAATAAATGAAAGAGATATACAGGTTGTTAACTCGACAGTTACTTATAGGGGAACAGAATGGCAACACTGCCTATTGAGAACGCTTGCATTATTGATTTTTCTGCCGACTCGTCCCGTCGCGTCCATATACGTATTACTTTTTACAAATATACTCAGGGTTCCCTATTTAACCCCTTGTGCAATTTCTGTGCCGTAAGAAAAAGACAACATAACCCAGCTCCATATTAAAACTGCATAAGTCTATTTCACCCGGATATGGATTGAACTGCGATTGCGCCAAACTCCGATTGATTGCTGTTTTAGTTCTGTTTGGATTACTTTTTATATGTGCGCGTAAAAGAGTGATTTTGTTTAGTTTATTGTTTCCAACTATTTTCTGATATTTTTCCAACTCCATGATAATGTGTTATAAATAATAAAAATATAAATAAAATTGAAGGTTAGGGGAAATGTCAGTCAACCACTTCCCTTTAAAAACATCGATCAATGAAAACTTCTTCAGGTGAAGCATGCTCAGTTAAATGAATATCCGGGTGAAATAGACTTATGCAGAATTCCATATTGTTCTTTCACTGTTTGGGCTTCACTTTTTGGAGATTAGGCTGAGTTTATTTGTAAAAAGTAATACGTATATGGTCGCGTCGTCTATCGACGAGCGAGCCAAGGTTGCCATATTTCAACCATAAAGCTCTTGCCGCGAGTAATGAACCAGTGAACAACCTGTATATGTTCTGTTTAGCGTTTTTAATAATCAAGTCAATTTTATAAATCAATGAAATCTTAAAAAATTGATGATCATTATATAAATCAATTTTCAATTTCGAGAGTTGGCAACCCTGGTTTGAGGCCCCGTTCGCGAACAGTGTTGCCAGAACTGAAGGATTTCCTTCAATATAAAGGATTTTACAGTCAAATTTCGGCGATTGAAAGGCTGCAGTATTTTATCCAAAAAGAAGACAATATGAGGGTTTCTAGCAGTTTTACACAATAAAAATTGTTAAAATATGTAGTAGGAGTATTTATATTGGTTTTCCTACATCTATTTTTTCATTTTAACGGTTTTTTAAGGATGCCTCAGTTTAAAGCAATGTTGCTGTCAAAAAGTGCGCAATTCAAAAGATTTTAACATTTAACAAAAAAATAATACATTTTAATACACGTCTTATTACACGCGTACCATAACTAAACCAAAGTTCTTGATGTTGCACGATTAATTATTCTCGGTTCAAGCAGTCATTGTAAGCAATGCATTTTTTGAAACGTACCCTATAATACTGCTGTCGAGTATCTATAACAGGATTTTTGATCGCGTTATTTTTTTAATAAAAAGTTTATTTAAATACATCGTTGTCCAAAAATTACCAGAAATAAGTTTTTAAAAAATTTCTCCTAATTGTAAAATACACGAAATTTGGTGATTTTTCAAAGATCTGGAATTGTTTCGAATAAGAAGGAATATGACGGTTTTTTAAAAAAGCTCCGTTGAAGAAATTCGCGCGAAAATTTCTGGCAACACTGTTTGCAACTCTCTTATTCTCCTCATGAGCTACGAAGCCATCACATCCTGTGCTTTGATAAAGCCTGCCTGTGCTTTGATATGTGAAAAACAGAAATCGAGCCTCCTGCATGAGAGGGAATAGCCCCTTGTTATTAAATATACAAAAAACTTCTCCTTATTTATTTCTGGATAGATTATTTTTTAATTCTTGGTCTTTTTAGAACACTGATGGTCTCATTTCGTTGTCTTTTAAGTTATGTAATTTATTATCAACCCTCGTACAGTCTATATTTAAAAGTGGAAAAGGCGCCGAGACGACTGGCGTCTTGTATGCGATGCTGAGCGTCGCACAGCACAGTGGTGTAATTTCATCTTAAAACTGGCCATAATTCGGAAATTCCGACAACAAAGCTTCTCGGACTGATTTTTTTATAATAATATTTTTGTTTATTTCTGGCCAGGATGTATTTTTAATGAAAAAACATTTTCTACTCACTATTTTAAACTAAACAAAAATATAAATTAGTTAAAACAGAAGATTTTAGAAAAGAATGAGTTTTTAATTTTTTTTCATATAGTTTAACCACTTCAAAAAATTCTAAAAAATTCATGAGTGTAAGGAGTATAAAAGACATTTTCTGACGATTTTTAGTGAGTGACATATTTCACAAAGGTTAAAAAAATGAAGATTTTAATCTTCTTTCCTCCGCTAAAAATCGGCTTTTCGTTTAAGGATCACGATCGTATTATTTTTTCATGTCTTAGACTTCTAAGAATTAGAAAAAAATCATCATTAATTTATTTTGAATTTTACTAATATTTTTTTAAAATAAAATTAAAAAAATAGTTTTTTTTAAAATCTCAAAAACCGTTTGAGTTAAAGAGCTAAAAATTGAATAATAGTTTAGAAATCCTACGACGTTACGCGTTTAAAAAATATAATGAGCAAATTCAGAAGCAGAAGAGAGAAGACAAAAACAAAAATAAAAAAATCAAGAATATATTGTCTACTATAGACAATAAATATATTCTGATTAATTAATTTATTATTAATATGAAAAAAAAAACCAAAATAATTTGGCCCATGTTTTGGCATAAACTATTCCTCTGTGCGCCGGCTTGCTGGTCCCATACAAATATTTTTCTCTTTCGTGGTGCGTTGTCATTTCCAAAGACCCAAAACTAAGAACAAAGTAATCTAAACACACTTTAAATCAAGGGATTATAAAAAAATGAGTGCAAGAAAAGTAAATTTGAGGTTCTTCCTAAGTCTGAAATCTTGGGCCATGGTTATGGCCCTTATAAATTTAGTAAGTAGATAAAAATAATTCTGGCCATGATTGAATTTAGCGTCTTCTTTTTTTTAGGCTTTGGGCATTGGTATTATAATTGGAGGAGGTATTTGGATATCACAAAACCATGTTCTGGATACATTCAAGACATATTTTGCTGTTGGAGTAGGACTGGGTATATTAAATATGGCTTCCGGTTGTTTATTATTAACAGCTGTAATACAAGTGAGTAAAAAAAAGAGACAAGAAAAAATAGAATGTGTATTTTATATCAAAATATGGGGACAAAAGGGTATAGCCGGATTAATATGGGGAAATCTGCCCCCGCGGCTTTTTTGATTCGCACTCAAGGGATCGATTTGGTGTCGAATCAAAATAATTCACCTACATTTTTAGCTCTTTAAGTCAAACGGTTTTCGAGATTTTCAAAAAAAAAACAGTTTTTTCAGTTTTATTTTTATAGTAATATTCAAAATTAATTAATGATGATTTTTTTTTTAATTCTTAGAAGTCCAAGACATGAAAAAATAATACGATCATGATTCTTAAACGAAAAGCCGATTTTTAGCGGAGGAAAGAAAATTAAAAACTTATTTTTTTTAACCTTTGTGAAATATGTCACTCATTAAAAATCTTCAGAAAATGTCTTTTATACTCCTTTACACTCAGGAATTTTTTAGAATTTTTTGAATCGGTGGAACAATATGAAAAAAATTAAAAACTCATTTTTTTTCTAAAATCTTCTGTTTTAACTAACTTATATTTTTGTTTAGTTTAAACAAGTAAGTAGAAAATATTTTTTCATTAAAAATACATCCTTGCCGGAAATAAACATAAAGATTATTATAAAAAAATGAGTCCGAGAAGATTTTAGAAAAAAATATTTTAGAAAAAAAATGAGTTTTAATTTTTTTTCATATTAACAAATTACCGAGGGAAATTAAATGCATTCAAATCAACAGAGTATTTAAGAAAAAAGTTAGAAAATTGTTAATTAACTTAGAACCATATTCATTAAGTGGCTATTTGAATTAAAATAATATAGGGTTACATTGTTGTATTTGACGTCATTTCATTTTGTGTTCATTTATATTATATTTGTATATTTGAAACATACTCTGAAATAAAGTATATATTATTATTATTATTATTATTATTACGAGTCAAGAAAGATCAACAGACGATATTGAAAAAATAACAGAAAACACTATTTGCCTACGAATTAAAATGGCAGATTGCACTGTCACTCTCAGATATTCTCTCATTGGACAAACTTTACATATTCATATATCTAAATTGTTATTAATCGTATCATATTCTAATAATTTTAGGGAAATGATAACTGGGTTCTACTTTATATCCTATTGGAATTTGTAATAGCTTTTACTCTAACCATTTTCTCGGCTATGAACGTTTATAACGAGTTCTCCATAGTCCTCTTCAGCCTCCTGTGTTTATGTCGTAAGTACATTTTGATGAGTAAGTAACATAGATCTTAAGCTAGAAGTTAGTATACTGTCTTTACCTTGTATACTTAACTCGGCATCGAAAAAAATTGCAAGAATATGATTCTTTTATTATTGAGATGTTCATATACCATATGACAAAAAAAACCGTATCAAAGACGGTTGGTAGAAGAGTACGGGCCAAATAATGACGTCTAGGGCTTGACTTCACCGAAATTATCATCGATTGTCATTCCCAGTCGTCCTTGACGCCGTTTTTTTTCAATTGTATGGTACTTATATTATTTATTGCAAACTTTTTAGTACTCACTCTCAATGTCAGTATGAGTTAATAAATGTTGATTTTACATTGGGCTACCAGAAGAAATATTTGAATAAAAGCACTTTTAATTTTTCTTGTACTAGTATGTTATTTCATGTACTAGAAATATTTTATTTTTTAGCTATATTATGGATAGGATTATGCAACATATACGCATTCTATGTGGAACTTTACCAATATAATAACAGTTCAGTACAAGCTGGAATAGATGAGATAGCGTGTAACATGCAAACGAATCCTTTGGAATCTTTCCCTGAAAAAGCACTAGACACTACAACTGTTTAAGAAGCTCATATAGTGATTTCTGTGAAGTCTTTTGTCTTTTATTATTATTAGTGTTTATATAGGTATACGGTGTTAACCATAAAGCACACAACATAATAAATACAGGGTGTCCCAATATTCCGTGAACATAGAAGTACTACGTATTTTTGGAATCAAAATAATAGCATGCTATTTATATACAGGGTGCTACAAATTCGAGGTACGAGCATTGGTATCTCGGAAACCGTAATAGATACGAAGATGGTTAAATTGGGGCAAAGTTGCGCCTTGGGATGTTCACGAAGATGCTATCAAAAAAGTTTTTAAAATTTCATGAATTGCTGAGTTTTTTGGAATAAACGAATTTTTTTGAAAATAAATTTTATTTTTTCCTGTCGTTACATTTTAGAAAATCAAAAAACTAATTGCATATTCTCATAGCCACTTTATTAGGGCTATCTGACAGTATTTTTAGATTTTCAAATTAGCTGATAATTTGTGAGATACAGAGACGGACATTTTTTTAAATACGGATCTGCATTTTTTATTTCAGTTTTTGAAAGAACTCGGTCTCCTGAGTGCAATGATATGCCACACTTTATCAGTTTATAATCATCTGCTGATGATGCTAACATGGTTAGCGAAACGCGCGTCCAGTGTAAAAGTAAAAGTGTTTTGGTGTATTGTGGTGATTTAGTGTTTTTATTTTGCTGTTTAACACCAAAGGTTCCAACCCTCAACTGTAATAACACACTTTATATTTTTTTTTGTTTTGGGACCTTAACAACAACAAAACTATTTAATTATTATTTAAAATATTTTCAAGCCCGACCCTGCTTTCTTAAAATATTTAATCTGATTATATTCATTGCAACAATATTGAACAGCGCTAATTAACATTGAATAAGGAAAATCGAGCCAATTGAAAGATTCAAATAAATAATATCCAGCTCAGCAATTTAAAGATATTACTTTTTTTTATTGTGAATTTGAAATTCTCAGTGTACGATCTAACAATATGCATAATATTAATCATAGTTATTATAAATAAATCACCTTCTACAAACTAGTTCCTAATGCTCTACATGTTCAAAAGGGTTACCACCTTGCATATTGCACAAATTTAGTATTCTTTCAATTTTATTTATAGCTCTTTGAACATATCTTCTTCTTATACTTCCGAATGCATTTTATACTCTTTATTGTAAATGTTGAAAAATATTGATATCACTTTTACAAATGACGTCAAGTAATGCAATTATTTTCTTATTGAATTTGATGTTTCGTATTCATTGTTTTACCCCACGTCATAGTTAAGTTTAAGGCTTATCAATATTGTAACGATGAATAATTTAAATATTTAAAACACAGAGCCGGATTTGAAATTAGTTTAAATAAATTTTGTGTTCAAATGTCCGAAACACAAAAAAAGTATAAAGTGTGGCATATCATTATACTCAGGAGACAGAGTTCTTTCAAAATCTGAAATAAAAAATGCAGGTCCGTATTTAAAAAAAATAAGTCGGCCTCTGTATCTCACAAATTATCAGCTAATTTGAAAACATAGAAATACATATCAGATAGCCCTAATAAAGTGGCTATAAGAATGTGCAATTAGTTTTTAGATTTTCTAAAAACTAACGACAGGAAAAAATAAAATTGATTTTCAAAAAAATCCGTTTTTTCCAAAAAACTCAGCAATCCTTGAAATTTTTAAAACTTTTTGATGGCATTTTGGTGAACATCCCAAGACGCAACTTTGCCCCAATTTAACTATCTTCGTATCTATTACGGTTACCGAGATACCAATGCTCGTACCTCGAATTTGTAGCACCCTGTATACAGGGTGGCGCACCTCATTCGCCTCTGTTGATTATACGAAAACGGAAAGACGTAGAAACAACATTTCTTATGGATATATGTACGGAAGCAATGTGCATAATTTAAAATTATTTTCAAATATACAGGGTGTGTCAGAACTAAGATCCATACCAAAGTTATATTTTTTCTTATGGAATACCCGGTATTTTATTTAATTTTTGGATTCTGGAGCATAAAATAAGGCATTTATTATAAGGGTTTAATATGTTTAAATGTTTTAGTTTTTGAGATATTTAAAGATATGTAAATATGCATGCTATAATAAAAAAGTTTGTAACAACACCCTGTACATTACTTTTCGGCGTTAATTCTTGTGCTGACTTTGAAGCCAGAGAAATAAACTTTACTAAAAAAAAATTATTGCTACCTTAAATTTATACAGGGGTACCAAAAATTGCTGGTGTATTTTAAATATGTATTTTACATAAAAACTTCGTTATTTCAAATACAATACTATGTTTTTTTAAAATAAGCCGAAGCAAATTTAAGTGCTCTTTCAAACTATATTTAGGGTTTCCTATACCTCTATCTAGCTCAGATTTTGAATAAAAAGCGATTTTTTAATAAAATGGCAATCAAGATGGCTGGTTTGGTTTGGTTTGGCAATTTGGTCGCCATGGCAATTTGCTAGTGACAGTTAGTAGCTATTTTCAAAATCGACATTAGTTTATGGACTTTATTCAAATTTATAATAGTTTACTTTTATTTAATTTACCTACAATGGTTTAGTAAGTAAGTATTTATTATTTTATCAAGAAAAATAAAGAAGTAGTTCTTTGATTTATATTACGATGGCTTGTAGATATATTGGATTTTCTATAAAAGAACTAATTAGGGCAAATTCATTTTCTTTTTCCAACGACAGGTTTCTGCCTAATAGTGCTAATAGGTTTTTCGTATACCACACTATCAGCTCTGCGAAATAGGAAAAGTAGTTTTTCAAAGGAACGCTTGTCAAGAAAATTCCTATTTGGATATCTTTGAGCATAGACCCTTCAGGCCAACAAGCAATTGTCCTTACAAAATAAAATCACTAGTAACATAATCCATTTCTTCAGCCAGCAGATAGTGTTTCATTTTTCTTGATAAAGTAATAAATACTTACTTATTAACCTTATTGTAGTAAATTAAATAAAAATAACCTGTTATAAATTTAAATAAAGTCCATAAACTAATGTCGATTTTGAAAATAGCTATATACTAAGTGTCACTAGAGAATTGCCATGGCTACACCAGCCATCTAGATTGCCATTTTATTGAAAAATCGCTTTTTATTCAATATCTGAGCCAGATAGGCATAGGAAATCCTAATATAGTTTGAAAGAGCATTTAAATCTGCTTCGACTTATTTAAAAAAATACATAGTGTTGTACACAATACAATCAAATTTTTTAGTAAAGTTTATTTCTCTGGCTTGAAAGTCAGCACAAGAATTAATTCAGAAAAGCAATGTACAAGGTGCTGACAAACTTTTTTATTATCGCATGCATATATTTAAATATCTTTAAATATCTCAAAAACCAAAGCTTTTAAACATATATTAAACCCATATAATAAATGCCTTATTTTATGTTCTAGAATCCAAAAATGAAATAAAATACCGGGTGTTCCATAAGAAAAAATATAACTTTGGTATGGATCTTATTTCTGAAATACCCTGTTCATTTCAAAATAATTTTAAATTGTGCACATCCCCTCCCCACATATACCCATAAAATATTTTGTTTCTACATCTTTCCGTTTTCGTGTAATCAACCGCGGCAGAAGTTTCATTTTTATTTCGAGTTTTTCCAAATAATTTAAGATGTAACGTCAATATTTGGATGAAAATTGGTGTCTGGGAGTTTTTGGACATGAGAAGTTTGATTTTCATGTCAATATGACTCCTACTTGTAGAGGGCGCCACCTGCACCTGCTTTAACTGGTTTGAAGAGTAATAACTTTTCCTCCATACCTGTATAAAACTACTGAGTAAAAAAATATACATTAGCAACTTTTTTTACATATAAAACGTCTCTTGGTAAAAATCGCTACGAGTAATGGTTCTCGAGATATGTGAAATTGAATTTATCAATACCTGTCATCATTGACAAATTAAACATGTTGACCAAATAAATATTAGACTGAAATCTTAAATTTGAAATCTTTTTGTGCCAAAAGTTCAACAGAAACTGCTGAATCGTCATTTTTTCGCAGAAAAAATTATGATCAATTTAAAAAAGTAAAAATTTATTATTTCAGTCAAATAACTATTCAACGTGTGCTTATTTTTTTGTCAATAATGACATGTATTGACTATTTCTATTTTAAATATCTTAAGAACGGTTGCTCGTAGCGATTTTTGCCAAGAGACATTTTTTACGTAAAAAGTCATGGAAATGTATATTTTTTTAGTCAGTAGTTTTATTCAGGTACCGTCGAAAAGTTATTACTCTTCAAAACAATCAAAACGCATGTAGGTGGCACCAGGGGGGTGACAGTAAACCGGAAAATTGGAAACAGTTGTGGCGCGGTTCTACCCAGGCAGAAAGCATGGCCTTCTAGACTGTCCTAGACAAAAATCTGAATTATTTCTATATGATTTCTGTCAATTTCTGCTACGGAACATTTTTATGCACGTCGGCGTCCTGTTCTTTTGTGTTTTGTCTGTGTGTCAGCGTCAGCTCCCGAGGCCTCTGGCAAGGTCGGGCGCCATTTTAATTTTTGCCGTTTAGATTTGATTGGAAGTTTGTTTCTGATATTTCGGCTGAAATTTATAAGTACAAAGATGTTTTTTGATATAAAGTTCCTTGTTAACACTTTAATAAAGTATATATGATATTAATTACATGAAGAAAATGATGAAATCGACGTTTCTGCGTGTAGTAGGTATGGAGCCATATTATATGTAAAAATAGGTAATATATTAACTGTTTTTATATATTTTTTAACTTTAAACCCAAGGATCTTGGGATATTCTTTTTGCAAGGATTTTCCGTATCTCTACTTTAAAGACAGATCGGTGATTTTGAGCAATTGAAAGCAAGTTATACAAGGTAAATTATGATTATTGAACTATTATTAGCCTACATTAATTTTCTACAAGATGAACAGAAATGCGTAATTACATATCAATAGGTACCTATTATGTATTTTCATAGCAATAATGCTATAAATCTATGTATGTAGATTATTTTAAAATACAAATGAGGTATTAGATGTATATGTATCATATTTTTTATTCATTTTATTTTCATTCAAGTCCTGTTTGATTTAATTCACAAAAGTTTTATGTACCTATATTTATGTTTTT